TCATAACCTGGCACCTGGGCCTCCTGGCCTGTGGGCCCTGGCGCAGTTGCACCGCCTGCACACTCGAAAGTTACATCGCTGATATTGCTGTAGCCTGCGTCTGTATGTACTTATGTATGTTGAACTTATTTTGCCCCGTACGTAGCCAACTGTGCTAATCAGAGGCGTGGGGGAAGGACAACAAACTCAACAACAAAAAAAGCAGCTCTAAAAAAATGAGTTCTTAATCTCGATTTAAAAGTGCATAGCTTCGGAGGATTCCTAATATCGGAAGGAAGAGATGAAGAGGGATGGGGAGGGGTGACGGGTGAAGGGGCAGAGCTTGGAATCGCAGCATGAACTTGCTCGGGAAAAGAGGGAGGGGGGAGGAGGAAGACCCTAAGCGCTATTAAGTCACAACCAAGAATTTATAGCTGGGAGGCGAACTTGCGTCAACAAAAACAAAATAGCGAGCGAACGATGATAAAAGTGTTCAGCGCATGTATTTTACCAACGTGAAGGCACTCAACTTAACCATTAAGCTACGCTGTTAAAATTCCTATGTGAGAACAGGCACATACGTTCATCTATAAAAATGTTGTTTATGGAATGCAATAAAGAATAGAATGAGAATGTGCTGCTGCTGCTGCCAGAATCTGTACGCCTTTTTTCTCTCTCACTGTGTATCTTTGGCTTTTGTGTGTGTCATTGTGACATGGTGTGAAAATTACAAACGCGGTGGTTGTTTTCAGTTGGGGGACGGGCATTGGTGTAGCCGGGGCTGGCATGGGCCCTGACGCACGAAAATAATTTCCGCTCTCTCCAGGTACCCAATGGCTGGACAGCTCTGGCCTGTGGGCCCCGGTTCAACTGCACTGCCTGCTAATTGCTAGCTGTACCGCTGATGCAGGCCTTGCTTGTATGCCAAGCAGTGAGAATAGTAACCGAATCACTATGCTATGTTCATTCGATTCACATGTATTGCACATGACGAGTTTACGTGACCTACATCGGCCAATAGCCGGGCAGTCGTGTCTAAACACACGTGTCCTGTAACCGAGCGCTTTGGAGGCAGCGATGATTGTTGGATCGCTACAAACGTTGTGAAACTCCCTTCCCATGGGCGTCGAGGTACCATACCCTGGCTCGAAACGAGAAGGCGGCACGGCGATACATTGCTGCCTCCTCGCGTGCGAGGATTGTCTCGGGGTGACCCCGTTTCCTCCCACTCGTATGAACACTCGTGAAATTTGCTGAAAAAAGATCTCAAAAATAAAGACCAAGACCTTTCCTGAAAATGGGTCGCACGACTCGGTGTGGCTGTCCTGGATAAAATAAGTGAAAAAAAATATATACAGCAACTACAACCCACGACCTTCATCATGGTATATCTATATACACATGTTCTTTGGGAGGGGGGGGGGGGGGGGGGTGTAGGGTTAAGGTTGTTAAAATGCATTGTTAAACGGTCACGCACGCAACATGAGCACGATCCGAGAAGCATTGTGTGCTAGCAAGTGCTGCTGCTGTTGCTGCATCACGTTTCAGTCGCACGTTGTTATTCCAGCGAGCCCCCTCCACAACACTTCCCTTGCAATGTGATTCTCATATTTCCCGTCGTCGTGTTCGTTACAATGAACTGATGGGAGGCTGCATTTGTTTTACTTTTGGATTTTTTTTACAGCGCTGCTGACGTTAAATGAGACAGTTGAGGGTTCCTGGAGACTCATTCTCTCAGGTTCTTCACCCGCCCTCCTCACCACCACCCCCCACACCACCAGTCCCAGTCTTGGTAGCTGACACTTGGGGAGGGAGGAATCCCCACCCAGTCTGTAACCACTCTCCCTACTCGGCGGCCCCCTGCACCCTGCAGGCATCAGGTGATGGTGTACGTGTCAGTCAATCCGCAGCGCTGTCTGATGGCTTTGTGGACGAGAATGACCCCCAATGGCATTTCGTTCCTAGAATCGGGGATTCTTCTTCTCACTCAATATATTCTGGCTCATCGGTAGACCGGTGAAAGGCACGTGGCGAGTTAGCCTGTAGCCGTAGTTGAGACTCGGCGCGACACGCACGGTGCGAAAATATTTTCTGAATTGCCGACTCACGGAGATAAACTTTACGCGCTGTACAATCGCACATTCTAACGATGTTACATTCGGTGACTGGCAGGTCCTTTGTGTATTGCTGTAAAATTACATTACCTTGGAAGTGACCATCTTCACCGTGTGTGTATATATATAATGTACCGTAAATAGTTTCCTCGGCGCTGCACAGTGTGTATGTAAATAGATTACGCAAGGTCACATTTTCTTATAAATAGTTTCTGCACTGCATTTACTTGGAAAATGTGAAAAGATACTCTGATAGCAAATTAGGTGTGTGTGTGTATGTGCGTGACATTGCAACCAAAAGACATTATTTGTTTCATCGGTAAACAATGTAACTCAATATGACTTTTCAGGTGGGGTCCTGCATTGGGATGTTTAGCCAATTCCACTCGTGGGTGTTTGGCTTTAGATGAGAGGAAACTGAAGAGCCCAGAACAAAGCCCACGAGCCGCCCAAGACTGGTGGCACGCAGCACTGCCATCTGATGGTCACCTCCTCACAGCCCCGAGTTCTACGCCAGCTGGAAAGCCTTGGTGATCTGCTTGCCAAGTACTAACCAGGCTCACACCTGCTTAGCTACCGAGGACTGACGAGGTCGCGAATGCATTCAGAAGCTGTTTCCTCGTACACAGTGAAAGCACCAATAAACAAATGAATGGTTGAATGAGAAGTAAGAAATATTGTGTGTAACACTGAGGACCGTTATGATCTATCTAAACGCACTAACGTGAACATACATAGACTCTATATTTAAGTGATACTTTTGGGATCTTACCCAAATAGACTCAAATGAACGGAACTGGGATCCGGTTTCAGCATCATCACCGGTAAAGACATACTTGATATGTTAAGTTGTACGTATCCGTACCTTTGTGTAGTGTTTATGAATGCCAAATTACTTAAAGGGACGGCTTACATTTTTTATAGTAACAGGTTTTTTTATCGGCAGTCAAATAGAAGGGATATCTCAACGTTTGAGCCTCTTGGCTTTCTTCACTAAATACTAAGGTGTGTAAAAGAACAACTTAGTCAATTATATTGCAAGAGATATCTGTTCAGAGCAGTCAATGGGATTGGGCAGAACACGTGGCTAGAAGAAGACACGATGGCCAGGTGACGAGACGAGTGCTAGAATGTCAGCCAGGGGAGAGAACAGCCCAAGCAAGATGCCCACTGTGGAGATGGAGCGATGAAGTGGGCTCACGTGCAGGCGCGAGATGGATTGGGGAGGCCTACAAGCAGGAAACGTCTTGACAGCGAGGTCGTAGATGGTGACGCGGTGGGGGTTCGTGATGATGCAGATTAGTAGGTTGGGTGATGCGGGTCTTGTGCAATGCAATTCGCCGTTACTTCATGCACAAGTTTAGCGAGGCATCTACCACATTGGCTGCCTGATTCTACTGTCGCCCATGGAACTGCAGCATAGCTTGCATACTGCGTATAATTATAGCAGTTGACAGGCCTTTATCAATCCACTGCTGGATGTGTTTTTTTATCATACTTCACCGTGCTGGTCAGTGCAGGTTGATGAAGACAAAAGACGAGGGGTCCAGACAGATTCAGTTATTAGTCGTGGCTCGAGAAAAATATATATTGTCATAATGTCCTGCCCTTTGTCCATCTGTTACTGGCTGAAGGCTTCCCCAGGCATTGTGTAGGTTATGCTACACGCACGTGAGTGCGTGTGTGTAGTCTGACCAACAGGTTTTGCGTTTAATAAGGGGGTATTGTAAGAGGGTGAAATTGCGCAAAATGTTAGGCATTTCCCTCGGGCTGCTGCAGGCAACTTAAACGCTTTGCTGACTTCAACTGCGCGCGTGTAGCAGTGGCGATTGTCCGAACCCGTCCTCTGGTTCCCCGCACTGCATGGTGCGATGTGTAAAACATCAGCACCGGGGAGACAAAGGCGGCCGGACGTGATTCCGGCTACGCCACTCCCGTCGCACGGCTCAATAACTGCTCCCATCGGTCTCGACGGTTTGTCGGCGAACTTTATCATGTAGGATGTGATACGCGTGCCGTCATTCTGCGGTTGGGCAGCGTAGAGGTGATACAAGGTGACTTACACGCCTTGAAGAGCGATCGGTACTCGTGTGGGCGAGGCGATGATCAGCAAGCGGCATAGCAAAGGCGATGACAACAGAGTCGTAAGAGAATGCACGTGGAGTTCGGAGGCTCTTGACGCAATCGCGGAAACGCCGCACAGACAGCAGCGGTCAAAGGCCGTGGCATGTGCCATGTCTTGTTGACTTTCTGAGCAAGGCACCGATGCATATTGACTCGCCAGGCTAAACGTGGTCCGTACTAAATCCGAAATGCCGTGCAGGTAAAAAGGCGACGAGTTTGCGACGTTATCATACTGCGAGCTGATGGTCGTGCTGACCGCTGGCGATGATGATAGTGCTGATACCGATGATTTTCATGATGAACCTACTGCTGCCGCTGATTATACTCCTGCTGCTGCTGCTGTTGCAGATGGAGTTGCTGTCCAATGAAGACGCGTCTGCTCCTGCTGATGGCGATATATCGTATGATGAGAGTGCTGGTGTTAGTGATGATGATGCTGCCGATGCTGATGTTTCTCTTCTGCGTGTACTAACGATGGTGATTGTGATCCTACCGTCGCTGATGATGACACTGACGACGATGCACTGCATCATAATGAGTGATGCCGGCGCTGCTGCTACTGCCCTCGATGATCTTGCCTTGTGACGATGGTGATTCCGCTGCTCCTGATTATAATATTGATGGTGCATAGTACTAGAATTACTATGGTACTGCTGCTACCTGCCGCTACTAACCGTGCGCATGATGCTCCTGCTGTTGACACCGCACCTGGTAGTTCTAGGCGAGAAGCACCGTGCCCCCCCCCCCCCCGTGTCCCTGTGGTGTCACTCCGCTCCCACTCACCGTTCCTTGTCTTAGGCGCGTTGCGTGACGCCTTCAGCATCTCCGACTGAGCTCCCACGGCACTCCCGGGGCGCGCTCCCTGGCTGAGCAGCAGCAGCAGGAACAGTGGCGCGCAAAGAAGCGACGACATTCCGCTCCGCATAGCTCGCAGCGAGCACCGACAGTGAACGAAACTAAACCAGGGTACAACCAAAGCGGGCAGACACCGCCACGGTCGATGGGCAGCGCTGGAGGCGAGTGAGACTCGTCACCACGGGCTCTGACAGCCCCTTAGAGTCCGTCCTTGTTGCAGCAGCCGCTACTGCACGTGGTGCCTGCGCTCTTTACGCGCGACCCACTCTTGGCTACAGCCGGAGCGGCGCGCGAGTTGAAGGGAGGAGACACCTGCCGTTCGCTGCTGCTGCTGCTTTTGCTGCTGCTGCTGATTCTGCTGCTGCTGCTTCTGCTGTTTCTGCTGCTGCTGCTCCTGCTGCTGCTTCTGCTGCTGCTTCTGCTGCTGCTGCTTCTGCTACTGCTGCTTCTGCTGCTGCTGTTGCCGTACAAAGTCCTGCAGCAGTGTCGCGGATCGCCGTTGAATTACGTCTCTCCGCTGTCGTCGCTGCTGCTGTTATAGCTGCGTTAGTTGTTACTGCTGTTGTTGTTGCTTGAGCTGTGATTGCGTGACGCTAGGCTTACTGCTGCTACTGCTGCTGCAAGTTTGTCGCTCTCCCGTCCACTCCGTCCGCCTGTAGCGCGCGCGTTGTTTCAAACCCACGGAGCGTCGTTGTTGTTCTTTGCCGAGTGGCTGTCTCGCATCGAGTCCCCTTTCCCTTACTCGATCAGTTAAAACCAAAAGCGAATACGGAGCAACGCTACCCGCCTCTCCCTCCCTGGCCGCTCGAGGGAGCAGCGAGACGATGCGTGCGTGCGGAAGCACAACGCCGATGACTGCGCTTCGACTGCAGACTCTCTCGCCGCGCTCTCTGTGCCCTTCCACTGCACACGCGGCTCTGTCGACGTGTCGAGATGGCTGTCCGCGAGCAGCGCGCCTGCTCGTCTGGCTGCTTATCGGTCGGTCGGTCGGTGCCGTCTGTCCGTCTGGTCCCCTGTGCGCGCGCGCGCGGTTCGATGTGTCGAGTCTGGCCCCCTTCCTGAGCGTGTCGCTCGCAGGCACGCAGCCGGGGAAGGCAGTCTGGGGGTCTATGCTCGGTGCTGCGTGCTGGCCCCGCAGTTTAATAAGACCGACTTGTGTAGAGCAACCTCCGCCCCTCTCTCTCTCACGCACACATACACGCGCACGTACCAGAAAGAATATACTGGCCTCAGGCCAAGGAAATGAGCTCAAGCCCTTTGGAAGCGACGCAGCAGCTTAGACCGTAGCCGCGGCTGTGGCTTATTTTAAGTCCTCTGGCAAGGCGAGCGCCGATCGCCAGCTGAGAATGGTTGGGGTGCAGTGGCGTTTCAGATGTTTGCAGGGGAGGCAGGGGAGGGAGGGAGGGAAGGGAAGCATGCGGGGGTGGTGTGGGATGGAATGGAGGAGGCGACAATTATGAGTGGCACATTTCCCTAGGGCACAGACGGACTGGGTATATGGGGCAGCAGGACTGCCGTGTCTCACAGCGACGGGGTCGGGTTTTTTTTCCCCCTTTCTCCCCACAAGAACTGAAGGGGGAGTTGTCCGTACAGGTGTTGCGAGTCTGTGTATTTTCCGACGCGTTTGCCAGATCTGAGCGGGTCTCCTGCGTAGGCAAAGAGGCCCAGGAGTGAGCAGATCATAAATCTTCATCACCACCCCCCCGCGCCCCCGTCACGCCGCGCTGTCTGAAGTCTATAAGGCGAATGCGATGCATATATAGCAGGGTCGTAAGCAGGTTATTGCCAAGTCGGCTCGTTTGAGCGTAGAGATAGATGATACACTCCGACTGTTGACTTCGGCACAAGAGAAATGAGAACCCAGGCAAAGGCGTTGAGGACATCGGTGCTTCTTTTTTAAATCGCGGCCAGGGTTGTTGTGGACAGCGCCCTTGTTTATCAATCCACTGCTGGATGAGGGAGGGCATCTGCGCGCCTGTACGGGTCACGGGGTAGTTTGATTAGAATCCTCCATCGTGCTGGCGCGGGCGGGTGAAAGTGGAACGCATGGATGTGGGATTACAGAGTGGTCCACAAGTCTTGTGACCCTTTAATTTTTTTTTCCACTTTCAATATTCATTTCTGTTCTAAATAAACATTACTTTAAAACATTAAGCTTTAGATAATTGGGGGCAGGGGGGGGGGTCCCACGACACATCTGGACCACCATGTACATCACAGTACAATATATTGTGATGTCCTGCCCTCGACTGCTCACAACGCAGCCCCGAAGCAGCCTATAGCACCTGTAAGTAGCGGCATGGCGGTCGCCCATCCAAGGCTATTCAGACTCAAGCCCTGCTTAGCCGAGTTCCCTGTAAGTTTGTTTTTATATAGATCGCGTAAATACATATATATAAAATCGTTAAACCCGCCACCAGCCCACCACGACACAAATTTACGCGATATAACCCCCAAAAAAACCTGTATTATGGATGATATTAGTCGCGAAAGCCTCCGTGTTAAACTTAGTTCCCTGTATCTGACGGAACCGGGCACGTTCATTGTGATAAGGTCATACGGCCTTGGTTTTTTCAGTCACCTACAATTTAAACCATCGCCAGCAATACAACCATCAGCAGCAGCAGCGCCACTTAGCGGAGTATTATCATATTCACGACTGCAGAGTGAATAGTGAATACTCCACAAGTGAAAGTCTCGCTTGGCTCGCAGTAGCCGCCGGGTTCGTTCGCGGTCATAGGATTAAGCGGTAGGGCAACGCGTGCATTTGACCCCTGTGCTCCGACCCCAAACTGCCTCTTTTCCCATAGCCACGTATGACGATGACGGTGGTCGTTTCAGTTGTTAGGCCGTTTCTCTTGTCTGCTGGCATTATCAGCTCTTGGTGTGGGTCACTGTGCGCCCCTTGACCTGAGACGTCACCACTAGACGCATCACCGCTCGCTCTGCCCTTTCGCGGACTGGACGCTTGCCTGTCGCTGATGCCGATAATAATGACGAGGCTCTTGATCTTGATGAGATTTACAACGCGGGCAGGGCCCCTGAATGGTTGGAGGGTCGGGGTCACGCCTGTGGTGTCGTGGATCTTGGCTTCGTCCGCTCCTCATTGATTTGTAGAGTAGGGATTTCGAAAACTTCAGTCCGCACGAACCCATTCCCAACCCCGCTACGTTCTTTTAATCCCCCCCTCCCCCCCCGTGTTTAACGATTTACTCTCCATTCAAACACAAATCAACTCGTTCCACGCTGCACGCGCCCGATGATTGTTAAACGTCCCACGTGACACGCGTGCGCTCACATCGAGATCTCAATCTTAATACAAATCGGATCAACGCAAGCGGCGTGAACAGCGTTCATGAACAGCGACAATACTGGTAGGAACCTCCTGGTTACACCAGCCCACAGGGGATTATTATGTCCGTCGTGCAGGGAGGGGCTGAGTGGGGAGGGAGGGGCTGGGTGGGGAGGGGGGGTGGGGAGGGGCTGGACGGGGAGGGTGGGGAGGGGCTGGGTGGGCGGTGGGAGGGGCTGGGTGGGGCTGGGTGGAGAGGGGCTGGTCACCCCGTGGTGCCCTTATAAAACTCAACGTTTAACCTACTCACGCCGGCTTGTGCCCGCCCTCACAGCCGGCCATATTTGCAGAATACACCACGCCGCCGTTGACCCTGGCCATTGACCGAGTAACCAAACGTTCCTACCAGCTCCTTCCGCAGGAATGTGTTTGTTGTAACGTATTCCACCTAATATAACGCTCAGTTTACTTATAACACACAAGCAACAGGCACATTACAAATGGCTTAAATGTGGCTTTATTTTCAAATTTGTAACAATGCGCACAAGTTGGCACGTACACTTATTTTATTAAACCATCTTAGGTCTTGCTCGTTACTCCGCAGCCTAATTGTCAGCCAAGTACGACACAGAGGCTTCGCTACGCAAACAAAACGTTGTTGTACAACAAAACGCGTGACTGCATCTTTCAGATTGCGTTACACGTAAACATTGCCGAGAGAAAAGTCACCGCAGCTCACGGATTCCTTACAAAGATTTTCGTTCCCAGGTTTCTGCGGGCAGCCTCTGTCGACTAAACATCCTCGCAGTGACAAAGGCAGCGGCAATACAGAAAACAAACACCTTTGCCAAGGAAAGGCCGGCACGCTTCCTGACTTCTCTATTCTTGATTTCATTCTTGACCAGAAGGCGACAGGGCAATGTATCCAAGAAAAACACGCGGAAGAATGTTACAGCAGCTGCAACCGAAAAAAAATATTCACGCGTATGGAAGTGTCAACGTACGCCTACATAAAATGTTTTACCGAGGAACGCGTGCAGAGCATCTGTAAAGTGATCGCAGCTATACACACGAAGGCGATGTATAAGAAGGTATGCTTAACAAACGGTGGTGTTACATAAGTGATTAAACTTACTGCGAAAAAATAGAACGCCCGAACTGCGAGGTTAACGGCTGTTGAAATGTAACACCCATTTCACCATCTCGCAACACTCTCGACAAGCAGATAATAGATTTACTGTGCAGGAATGCTTGAAATGAAGACCGTTAATGAGGGATGGCTGCCTGCCCTTGAGCCTAGCAGCGCTTCATCTCGACAAACGCCCTCCACATATATCATCCTTGGGGCCCATAAGTGTGCTTTGTGTTCCTGCCTCTGCTTGTGACTTAATGCCCCGTTGTTACCGTTTTGCTCTTCTTACAAGCCGTCCCTATTTTCCGACGTGCACTTAGGCTACAAGTGCTTTGGTTTTCACAAGTGGGACAGATGCCTCTGCACGAATGTGCACCCTAATGCCCTCGCTGGTGTACAGATGTCCCTCCTTGCATGTCAAACTTTGCCACGGCCTGTTTCTGGACATGTTCCAATACGTAAACAAAAACAGTATGCTCGGATGAAAACACGAGGTGGGTTGATAAGTTGAGTTCACGTGTAGCGATGTTCTCTCGACAGTACTGAGCACTAAGCGGTTCCTTTACAATATTAAGGACAAATGTGATTTGGTGCTTGCCATTAGAACACTGCACCTTTTTTACACAATACATTCAGATCTATCAGCAGGCGAAGAGATTAAATAAATAACAACATATACACTAAAGAGTAACGTATGAGTCATTTAACTAGGATTGCCTCACCGAGTGTCAATTACTCTCTTTGAGGCGGGGCATGCGTTGTGCGGAGGAAATGTGATCACCTGGATAAGACCTGCACAGGAGGGCATAAAGCTCAAATGTCTGCAAAACAGGTGCAGCATGAACCCACTCGCTTGGTCATCTCACAACCTCTGAGTTTTACAAATCTGTGACCCACCAACCCTTGCATTCCAAAGTGCTCAAATAAAGGTATGCACCACTCAAGCAACGACCTAAAGTGAACCTAAACGACGTGAGCAGAAATAATCGAGAGTTTTAAACTTCGATCATGTGTGTTTTTTATTACACGAAGCTACGTACACAGGGTGGGGGGGGGGGGGTGCAGTGCGCGTGAGTGCAAGGCGAGCGACACGACTTTAGAGAACTGCATGCGAAGATCGTCCGCCACGACACCAAGTCAAGTTACTCGAACCGATGCGGTGACCGGACACAACCTCGGTGCACAAGGTGCAGCGCATGCTTCAGCACACCGGTAAAAATCTGCAAGATAACACATCCACAGTCACGATCATTCTGCTGCTGGATGAAGGCCGATCCACAAGCTATCGTCACCTCACACGTGAATGTGTTCCCTGCTTTGGCTGTCAATCCATTGTTGTTCTCTATTGCCGCAATTATTACTTCTAACAATGCGTTCTGCCCAAGCCAACTTAATTTTCTTCAAAGTTCAAATGAAGTATTTAACCAGGGTACGTTCTCTCATCCAAGTGGTCCCCTTTATATCATTGTAATTCTAAACGTGCAATATCACAATGCCTTGTTAACTATTACATTGTGACTTGTTGGAGTAGCATGTCAATTTCAAATAAGTTATGAAACCTCTTACAATAGCTTCAAAACTCACGTAAAAACTAACAAGACAAATCACACTCATTGTAAACCATTTTATCCACAAAAGTCAAAATAATGGAATTTCAGCAGTTGCCAATACAATGTAAATCGATACGTGGTGGCAGCACTTCATGACCCAAGTTCCGTTTCCAGCCGTGGCTAACATCAGTGAGGAGTCAGGGCGCAACTGATCCTGGGAACCACCGCTTCGCAGAGCTGGACGGACCAACTCGGTGTGTGTGGTCTCAACCCCCATGACTGAAAATGTATTTATAGGCCTTCATCCAACAGTGCATTGAGAAGGGGCTGTAAAATCTTAAAACCATAATTTATATACTGCAGTGCCTTTGGTGAAAACCACGAATACTACATCATGTAGACACTAGCGGGATGTCCGCGTAGGCTTAGCAATAATTCCTTTTAAGGGGCGTTTTCTGCCAAAATGTAGTGTTTGTCTACAAATAATATTTTCTCACTATTTTTTGTAAACTTTATTTGCAACCAACAATGGTACAGTGTTATAGGCGGAAACACATTTTGGCGAGTTACGTAGTGGATAAATATACGTACATACAAATTCCTCCTTACACAAAATGCGTCCCTCTTACGAAATGTATTTACCAAAAAAACACAAACGTTTACACGTAGGTAAAAAACATAAAGTAAAATAAAAATCACGACGTTTCGGAGGCAACGCAAGCTTCCGTCTTCAGGTGGTACCGTCACAGCCACGACAGCTGTATCAAGTAAATGAGAGATTGCAGGAGCTACCACTCCGTTTATATAATGGTTGGAGAAGGTGGTGGGGTAAGGATTATATAAACGGAGTGGTAGCTCCTGCAATCTCTCATTTACTTGATACAGCTGTCGTGGCTGTGACGGTACCACCTGAAGACGGAAGCTTGCGTTGCCTCCGAAACGTCGTGATTTTTATTTTATATTACTTTTTTATGTTTTTTACCTACGTGACTTTACCGAAAAAACCTAAGAATATGAATCATTGCAGTCACGAAAGCTTCAAATCTAGAATTAGTTTACACGTAGATTTAAGCAGTTAGCCTCTCATCGATCAAAGTAGAACATCCCTTTGAACACATTTCCGTGGAACGCTTTTGGAATCGTATCAATTTTTCCCTGACTTTTTACGCCCGATTCCTGTCTGGCACAGGAGGACATGACGCATCGTTGACCACCACCTGAAACTGCATTCGTTAAATAGTTTGCTTAGGGATGGCACAGGCATGCGCGATGACGCCACCGCATGCATTGACAGGCAAGGCGCGCTTGTCCGTGGGTGACGGTCGCTTGCCGGGTATTGGCGAGAGTTGACCGATCGTTCTGGAAAACCGCCGTGAGCTCATTCCACCTCCGCACAAAGAACATCCCCAACGGGGCACATCTATCCGTTGTACGATTTTGAATATGGCCTTGTGTCATAGGCCTGGTGATTGTAAATCAGATAAACAGCACCGGGCTTTCCAGATTGATTTAAATGTAGGGATTTATATTCCCCTGTTATAAGGGCTCAGTGGGAAATGTTTTCAAAAGATCAACATTCTTCACTTGTCATGCATATTAACATGCCACCCACCCGTAACATCTGACAATTAAGCCACAATGGGGCACAACAGCTTTTCCTTTTTTACATATACTTAGCAAAACTTTTATTCATTCGAAGTTAAAGTTACATACATAACAATAAACCATCAATAATTTTATGGGCACGACTTTTTTGTTACTTTCTACAGTAAGGCTTAAGCGTGCGGGAGTAAGTTCGGTTTGAGAACAGAACCATGTGATCAGATTCTGGGTCCGATTGGATGCAAAGTACCATCTAACCAGAATTCATCCATCTACTCGAAATGATCTATTCCATTTCGGTGCAGCTTTATAAAAACTGCTGCTGTGCAATGGGTGTAGTCAGAAATTTTGCATTCTTTTTATGTTTGAGGTGAGCACCTACCTTCATCGGAGTTGACGTAATCAGTGGATAAACAATGATACAACAAAGAAAATCTAGTCTTACACATATGGTACATGCATCGAATCATACCTGTGAGAATGGAAAACGCAGTTTATGCAAATAATATTCTAATGCTGCACTTAGCGAACATAACTGTATAAGCGAGATAGAACAAAAAACCGCACACAAACGTGATGGTAGAATTTAGGACATGACCCCATACATGGAATCCTCGACTTACGAACAAGTTAGGTTCCAGACGTCTGTTCGTAAGTCAATTTGTTTGTAAGTTCAACTTTACTATCGATTCCAAACACGTTGTACGCCATGTACTCAAAACACGGGGAATGGATTTAAAAGTTGTATAATCTCCTGTCGGTGGAGATGCCACTGGTTCTTCATGTTCTGCAGATGTAGATGCCACCACCGCCATCTATTGCACAGCGGTTGAACTTACAAATCTCGGTCCGAACAGGCAACTGGACATATGGGCAGGTTTGTTCATATCTGTGAAAGTTTGTAAATCGAATGTTGCTAAGTCGAGGAGGCCCAGTATTACGAAAATGTCTTTATTCATCTGACAGTGAGGGGTGAACATGACACGCTCATTCAAGAGGTTGCCAAAAGCAATGATAAAATAAGAACTCATGATATAGAGGCAGCAGCTATGCAGCTCGTTCTTACACTTTAAAATCTCCTTTGGATTCCACGACACGGTGACGGAGCATAAACGTTGAAATTGCATCAGCAACCTGCAAGGGGAAAAAAAGAAAATAAAGAGGTGGATATATAAAATAACTCGTTACAAAATTATACTTTGCTATTTAACCAATAATAATATGAACAAATTATTTCATGAAACGGCTGCGTTTGCAGTGGTGCACAATTAACGGGAAAAAAACTCAACACAATCGTCAATGTAAAACTGCCTATAACGTTCTTGACAATTGCACATAATGTACTATGAAGAAGGGCCAACGCCCAAAACGTCTCTTTTATTAAACACCGTGCCCATTTTTAAGGGCGATGCTATTGACGAATGTGTTGAATTGAGTACGAAATTAAAACAAAGTGAATAGAGGAAAAGAAAAAACTCTGCCTACTTTGTCCGGAGCGTCCTCGTGCACCGCGTGCCCACACTGCGGCAGCACCTGCATCTGAAACTTGCCTGCGTGAACGGTTGGGGTCACAAAAAGGGCAGCGCACGTAACAGCAGTGAGGCCATGGCAGACACACGAAATACAAGGCTCTTACCCAGCAATGGATGGAAACGATAGGTAAAGTTGCCGTACAGTAGTCCCTCGGTGAACGTTTTCTAATCCGTTCCACAAAAACTGTTAGCCAAAATAACTGTTAATGGAATATAGGAATTATTACGTGTTAAAAGCGTTCATCCGTTCCACTAACGAGCGCTCGAATTGGCCGAAATTGGCACCCGCGTGCATATCGTAAACATACCGATTAATAAAAATGTCAACGTTAGTCCAAACCATGGCGTACTGTGAGAGGCGTAGGGTTAACCGAAAAGCCGTGAACCAATGTCACTGTTAACCGAGGGACTACTGTATTACGTGTTAACTGAACATCCTCAAATGAAGCTCACATTGAAGTATTTTTTTTCAGAGAGTGCCGTTACAGATGTGTCATCGAGACAACTTGAGAGTTTGAGTTGCTTATTAAGATATCACGTTCCCAATAAGAGGGATGTAAACATATCGTGAGAGGGCGAGGAAAGTTTAGGTAGATATGAACAAAGGACAATTCCATTACCTTATTCATGCACATTAAAAACAAAAACTTAAAAGTTAATATGTAAAAGTTAGCATGAAGCTGGGTTGCGTAATTCTATCTTCATGGTTTATATTTTGTATGTAATGAAGTGCTTACCTTGCATTTGCCCAATGGTTAAGTCTTTATCCAAGCGGTCAACACCTGCACTTGAGTAGAGGAGGTAGCAAATGTAATAAATGTATTGGTAAAATAAAAAAAAAATCTGAAATAACATTTCCAATTAAAGATGCTGGTAGTTACACTCGAATAGCAATACAACACAAGAATAAATTATCATAACATTTGTGAATTTATGTACAAGCAGCCTTTTCAATAAATACAAGTCAGAGATACACAATTCTGGTCCTCAGAAGTCATGGTGTCATATAGATTTCATTCCAACTCAGCTCTCAATTACTGAACCAAAACCGTTAATTTAACGAATAAATTGGTTTATTAACATTCTTCATTGGTGTGGGCCATTTCAGCAGTGAGAAGTTTCAAAATGATCTATAAATCAAGTTATCCACAGGACCTCTGTGCTAAGTGATTGTTGCCAAGTTTGGAATGGGAGGAGCACCGGCCAACAGAAGCATCTTGGGCACCGGGCAGGAGAGGAAGAGCATGGAGAGGCCCCGGAACCAGCCTTCCCAGAAGCGCTCCGTGGTCGAGAGGTCAATTCGCCACGTGTACAGGGCGCCCTCCTCTGACTGCGCACGCACACGTTTCATTAGCACAGGTTAAACATGGTGTCATCTGTAGGTCTGAAGTTCAACTGCCAAGTTGATTTTGCTTAACCGGGCAAGAACTCAAAAGAGACCAGGATAGTCTCGGTTGCAAGAATAACCTGGGGAATGATTCTGCAAGAAAGGGGCGATGATTTCGATGTATCGTTCTAATAAGCCTGGGTGTGTTTAAAATAAACAAATCCACAAAACACAACTCAACATGCATGGTTATACCGAAACAATAAACGTATTGAACATCCTTTGAGTTTAACGATATGGCAAAGTTGACTTAACGTTGCATACATTTTAAAACAAAGATTGGATGTTCTTCTTGTTTCGTATAGTGGGGGGTTGATCGGCAATGTTAGTATGTTCACATCGATATTGCCAAGCCAGTGGATGGCCTCAGGAGCCGCTGACACTGGGAAGTTCCGAAGGTCCTTTTGAATCAGTAGGTTCAGGTTGGCTACGATGCGGGCGTACGGGCAAGATGGTTGCGTGTCTCTTAAAATATTCTGGAGGAGGTATGTGGGAACAAAACTGGCAGTCATTCGGGCGGCTTTGGCTTCAACATTTTTTGAGCTTTGGTGCGGGTACTGCTGGACCAAGCTGAAGCCACAGAATTCATTCGCCAAGTAAAATATCAGCACCAGTGCTGCTGCACATTGCGTCCGAGTGCTGGCCCCCCATGTTGTATGAAGCTGATCCTGGCTTTGACCTTTTCGCACGTCTTTTCCACACGGTTGAAGGTTATGCCCCTTGAATTTCGGGTTGGCCTTGTTTTTTTTTTACCTGCCAGCCAGAATAGGTGATGTCAAGTGGCTCTTTTGTGACCTTGCCGTTGTAATGGATGGCTGTCACCGTTGTTTTTCAGGGGTTGGGGTTTAGTTACCGACGGAGATCATATTTCCCCACTGCTTTGAGGTGAGTGGTTAGGCTAGTTTGCCATTAAAGGTATTTCACAATATTTACTGATGAAAATCTTACCTTTCAGCAAGACTGTCTCAAAACACGAAATGTAAAAAAACTGTTTTTTTGCTTTGCAAAGTGACTATATTTCAATGCTGAGGCCAATATATATTGTAATTTGAAGTACTCTTTGCATTTTATGAGAAATCCAATCAGCCATGAAATTGTGTGCCGGCCAGAATCCAAAAGCATATGACATGCAAAAGATGTTTAAGACAGCAAAAGCACGTCATGGAATTGCGGCAAATCTGCACACATCCTGTACGAGAGCTGAATATAAATATTTCTATTGTAATGATACTTTCCATTTTAGTCAACCAATATTCTAATTAAACCATATTTAATCAACAAATATAGTAGCAAGGGAATTCGTTCCATGGGTGAGAAATTGACTATTTTCTCCAAAAGCAAACTTACAGTTGAACGGTTTATTTAAGATAACTGTTTGGCAGAGAGTAATTACATCATTTTAATTGAATGCCAACCTGTGGTGGTGGTGATGCTGGCTGTGTGGTGTGATTGGACTCTTCCTTGTCTCCCTCCTCATCCTCCTCTCGAATGCCCTCGCAGAACGAACCGTTTCCTTTGGACGGACTCGCGTTCCCACTCTCGCATCTGTGAGCAACCAACATGAGCAAGTTGGTAAAAAGGGTGGAGCAATGCATCGATTAATATCAAGTCTTAAGCACACTATTTGTGTAATTCATCCATGTTGTAAGTAATGAATAAACGTCACTGCTATAACCACTTAAGGCACTACCATTCAGCATAACGTAAAACAAGACTCAAGCTTATGAACAACCCCACAAGTCATAAATTCTCTTAAGATGTGAAGAAAAGGCTCCCAGTAAAAAAATCCCTTCCTTTTCTTGATAAACTACATGTAACATAATGCTAACAATAAACAATGTTTATAAAATCTAAATCTTAATTGAAACATTTTATATCCGGTACTCAAACTATGATAGTGTACAGTGAAACACAATTTCATCAACATTTCTGACAAGTGTTTTAAGGAGCCTTAAAGTATGGAATTCCCGAGTTGGGCTTGGCAGCGAATGTAGTTAACACAAAGGGAGACAGCCATTACCTTTTCACCTGCCCACCCATAGAGACTCGCGCAGACTCCAGGTTCCTGATTTGGCCACTCTTGACACTGCATACAGCAGCACAAGCATCATAATCAGCATCACATCAATACAACACCAAGGCTAATTCGGATTGCTTTGGGTGAGCAGTGTGAAAAATCAATGGCACGCAGTGTTAATCCAGTTCCATAATAATGAATGTGAGTTCTTATTCTATGCTGTGTGTACCGATTTAATTCTAGTTATTAATTGAAGCATCATTTGAGCTATAATTCCAGAATTTGTCAATTATAGTTATTGTTTTCATTGAGCTATATTCTAGTCTCATCATTGTTAAACAGTTAAGATGCATTTATAGTTTCTATAGTAGTCCTACTTATGCTTATTTCAAGATAGTACTAGGTGAGAATATTTTACGTACAATTCCGAAACACATAGTTCATAGACGCAGATAAACTCAACTATATTGTGACTGACACCATTAAACAACTTTCTTCCTCTGTTCACATCCTTTACATATAACTTTCGGTTACAGTTTAACTCTAGTTGTTGCCAAAATCAGGTTGCTCTCTTGTTTGTTCAACAGTAACACCGGTCACCCAATTTGATATCTTGAGCTATTTTTTGTTAATGCACAAATTGAGTATTTACCTCCACTCAATGGCATTCTCAACAGACTTGAATGTCTTTGGTCGACCACGCAGAAAGTTTTGCATGCTGTTTAAGGCATCCATCGCCGTTCCTGTTTGACAGCAGAGGACACCACAAGGCTCTCAACGTCTGGTCCTTTAAGATGGTGGGTCATCAACTCAAAGACACCTTTGGGTAGTGTCTGCTTGCTGTGCCGACAGCAGATATGCTTTATTATGTTTTAACAAATGTTGATGATGATGATGATTGCGCATGGAGGAATAGCAATATTTCAAAGTATGTTAAGCTTTTCATTTTTAGTCAAGATCTTTGGGAGATGGGAACAAACACATGCAAATATGAGAGATTCCAAAAGCCACCAAAGTTGTTGTATCCACGAGCATCCCAACACAAATCACGTAGCAAAACCACGCACAAAGGAAGCATGGCACAGATGTTTATAATGCCGAAACTCCTTATTAAAGAAGATCTCAATGTGTTTGGCGGCCACCTTCCACCACGTCAATGACGATGAGGCCGACAAGCGTGGGGATGACATTGGCCGTGGCCGCGTGGACGGCGATGGCTCCGCCCATGCTGTGCCCAACCATGATAACGGGGAGGGGATTCTCCCCGTACAGGGCCTCCACCACGGCACCCACATCCCTGCAAGCATGAATGCACGCGGGTCGGCACGTTACACTCATCGTAAGCATCATCTGTATTCACGATAAGTCGTTCACTTCAGTAAGCGCATATTGCAGTACTATAGCATGGGTCAGAAACATGGGCATTGACAGAAGAAAATGGAACAAAAACTTAATATTGTGGAAATATGCATGGTGACCCTGCACACAATTGCAATGAGAAACAGAGTAACGTATGGATTAGAGAAAATCCATAAAGTTACACACAGTATATTGACGACTATTTGGGTCTTTCGGTAAAGTCACGTAAATAGAAAAAATATATAAAAATTATTTATTAGCATGAATTCCTGCAGTTAGGGTAGCTTTAAGTCAAGTATATTGACTTAAGAAAAATTGGCTTGAGCAGGACATGTTGCTTGAAGGTACGATGGCTGGTGGGAATGCACAAGAGAGAAGAACCTTTTTTTTACTGCCCTAACATGCAATTCATTTTTTGGGCAAATTAAGTGAATACTTAATGTGATGATCTTTTGTGCATTAATTCGTAACCAGGCTGAAACCATAAACCCATCACACTTCAGAACCTGGTTTAATTACAGGTAGCTTACCCATATTTTAACAAAGCAGTGCCAGGTCAAATGTATATATTTTAATATAATCCTGTCTTGTGGATAAGTAAAAATAAATGGAATGTATAGCTCAGCATTGCTCTCGACTCACTTGGCCATCGTCTCTGCTGACAAGTCCTCAGGATTGTTCACGTGTGTGTCCCCTGTCAAATACACACACACGGATTGTGTTCGTCATCAAATCGTCTTTGATTCACACTTAAAACCAGTACATTGTTGTAAGAATATGAATTCTGTACTGGATGTTGTTAGGCAAACGGAGTGTTATTTTGTCGGAAGGCACAATATACGATCCTTGATAATGGTTTCAAGAAGCTAATTTCGAAACTAAAAAAGTGACGAAAGCGGTTTCGGCTCTCACCGTGTCCACGAAGGTCGACAGCCACCACACGGCACTCAATGTTGCTGCTAATAGCTGCCTGGTGGTGACAAATTCAACAGCTAAATGCACTTACAGGAGACATTTTCTTTACTCGGTAATCATAAAAAAAAAAATCATAAGTAGTCAATAGGCATGCAACAATTCACCCGCTTTGGCGAAAAAAAAGAATTACTTTGATTCACGGTCATGATTGAACTCAAGAAACCATTATATTTGTCTAGTTTGCATTGCTTGTCTCTTATTGTATTGTAAATTCTATTAGCCAAAAGGTGCATGAGCATACAATATTTGAGACGCACTATTACATGTTTATATTGTGAGCATAGGAATTGCTTATCAACAATAATTTTTACATGTCTAGTTATAGCTATAGGGTTAGTAGTACAAGATATTATCTAAATACCGTACTGTGTCACGCTTGCACATGTAATACCGTAAAAACAGCCCAGGAGAGTGCCGAGTGTCCCCCTCCGTGCAAGAGTAAGAGCACAGGGCCCTCTGATCCACTTCGGTATACTCGGAAGGTGTTTGGCAAGGTCAGGAAATACCAGGTGAACAACGTGTACACATAGTTAGCATGTTTATGCAGCTCATCTCTAAAGGTTCCTGTTTCACTCTCTTTTGACAGAAAATAGACACTTTGGTTTTTTCAATTATAGTACTGGAATTCTAATCAAGCCACTGGTGTACAATATCTTTCTTGTAAAGAGTGGCTTACATTAAACCATTAGACACATTGTGATCCAAGTGTATGGGGCCATAAAATGGTGACATTGTAATGGATAATGCATCTGCATCAGATTGTTTTTTTTTTATCAAATTGATTAATAACGTCCGCAACTGGCAGAAGTGGCAGCTGAGGACATGTAGAATTACAGGGGTTTTTTTTTGTTTGGTTAAGTTTCAGTTAGAAGACTTACAATTCAAAATGCTATCATTTCAACCAAAGCGATTTAAATAATCGCGAACAAAATATATGTAAAACTAATATCAAGCGTCGGTGGCTTCATTAATTTGCAAATTGAAAAGGATATTCCCTTATCATCCCCTTCCCCGACCTCCACATCATCCATGGATTCGAAGTAGAGGTTCCATGACACCGGGGAAAAGTCTCTTCTGCGGCCGAACCCATGGCTGAAATGACACACAACACACCGTGCCCATGTATTTTCCTGCCCGCTTTCATTGCTAAGGTCTTTGTGTAGCACGTGCCCTGCTTGTCAGAGGATAGGTTAATGGGCTTTGCGTGTCAAGTTGGGACAATTCAGTTTTCGGAGAAAATCCTTGAAAACATAACTCTCAAACATCACACAAGTCATAATACTGCACTGTCAAACGTCACACGTCATGAAAAACAATGATGTCCATACTGCCTTCTACAGGCACGCGAGTGAAAACGTGCTCCATCACACAGGTTTTTTTGGGGTTAGATCGCGTAAATGTGTCGTTAAACCCGCCACCACTCGACAAAGCCAATTGGTAAGTTTTATCACGTAAACAGAACATGTCAATTCGTTACTAGTGCATCCCACCGGTGTGTTGGGAGAGCAAAACCACAACATTTACAATCCGAGTACGACGTTTCGCCAGTAATTACAACTAGCGTCATTAGGCGACAGTCAGATTTGTGGATAAATCCTCCTGTTTTGTTCCTTAAATAGAGGGGTAGATGTTATGACATCTTACTAATTGGCTGTGTCGGGTGGTGGCGGTGGGTCTAGTGACACATTTACATATTTACGTGATCTAACCCAAAAAAACATTTATTATGGATATATTGGTTGCGAAAGCCTACTTACTACGTGTTAAACTGAGAACGTGCTGTTCATCCAGGTTTTTGTCTCGCGGCTCAAGACGTGGCAATCTCCCCCATGTCTCCCATCATTCATCATCGCGATGGCTCTTGCATGGAAGAGCGATTCGGGGACTCCCAATGTCTAGGTGACCAACCAACAACCCATTATCAACAGACCCAATCTCGGAATGGCTGAAATGCATGCCATAATCTTTAACGTACGAGATAAGGTGAATTGACCCCACGACCCGCAAAGGCGTGGGAGTCCTTCATCCAGCAGTGGTTAGAAAAAGGGCTTTAAATGACATCTGCACTGCAGATTACTTTCCAGGTCTACAACCGCAAATTGTGATGTGGTTATTGCAGGAGTCGCAAGCGTGTGGCGGTGAGGTTTACTGGCAACTTGCGAGGAATGGCAATGTTCATAAATATTCTTAGGTTTTTTCGGTAAAGTCACGTAGGTAAAAAATTAATAAAAGTAAAATAAAAAAGATTTTATTTTTATTTAACTTTTATTAATTTAAATTTTATTTTTATTTTACTTTTATTAATTTTATTTTTACCTACGTGACTTTACCGAAAAATCCTAAGAATATGAATCCTTGCAGTCACGAAAGCTTCAAATCTAGAATTAATGTTCATAAAAGTTTTTTGGGGTTAGATCGCTGTAAATTTACCCCAAAAAAAACTATACTACGGATGAAATTGTTCGCACAAGCCTACGTGTTAAATGTCTATGTTATTCCGGCACGAGTGTATAACAAGCGGCACCATTCGCTTGATAAAATCACCGAATCTCACGCACTGACAACATGGAGCGAGCGAGGGACGCGATCGCGTCGCTTGCAGGACGACTTTGTGTTGTCTACCAAACGTTAAGACGGAACCCGGGGAAACTAAATATCTCTTTGTCTTGCAGAGAGTGTTGCCGGGCCGTCACATACGACTATTTGAACGCTCGTCACGAGAACGAAGGCACACTTGCAGTAGTATTAATGAAGGCACACTTATTAAAGTTTCGCCCACAACGCTCCATATCATCATTGCCCTCTAGTGCAACCCCTCACGTGAGTGCGAAATGCCTTTACGGTGGCACGACGCCGACTCTGAGACTCCTCTTTCGCATTAACAAAGCGTCAACAACCCGTGCGTCTCCAGCCACAGAACCCCTAGAACAATCGCGTGTATACAGTACATGTTGTTATTATTGAATCTCTTCCTTTTAGATGCGCGGCTCGTGCAAAGCGACCTCTTGGAGGCGGCCGAGGCCGAGGAAGAGCTGCCAGGGACGTGAGGTCTGGGCGGTAGACGGTTCAGCTGCACCTTCTTCTGCAGGGATGACATCTTCACCTATCACTCGCACTGTACCTACCACTGCGCACTGTACACTCCTCTTTACATTTCCCAGCGCGCTTTGGCGGCGGCGGCGGCGCTGATTGGTGCACGGCTCCCGCACCGTCGACCAATCGCGAGCGAGCGTTTGCTGGGCGCGCTTGTACGTGCTGGGAAATGTAATGGTGGTGGTGTTGGTGGTGGGCGTTGTTAAATCTGTTTAAATAATTAACCAGATGCGGATTCGTGAACGCTTAAACGTTGACAGTGTTTAATAATCTTAAACAAAAACAACACAAAAGCCTTATTATTGGGGTTAAACAAAAACTAATAATAACTTGACTGTATTCTTGGTTCTTTCGGTAAAGTCACGTGGAAGGGAAATAATAAAATAATCTATATATATAAAATCGTTCATGTCTGTGTGTCTGTGTGTGTGTGTGTCTGTGTGTGTGTGTCTGTGTGTGTGTCTGTGTGTGTGTGTCTGTCTGTGTGTGTGTTCTGTGTGTGTGTCTGCGTGTGTGGTGTGTGGGGAGCGGTAGTGTAGTGGTTAGCGTGCTGTCTTTGTGTCTGTCTGTGTCTGTCTGTGTGTTTCTGCGTGTGTCTGTGTGTGTGTGCGTCTGTGTGTGTGAGGAGCGGTGGGTGTAGTGGTTAACGCTACGCTGCGCTACCAACCCGGCGAACCGAGTTAGATTCCCGCTCATGGCCACCACCGATCAAGATTATTTGAACCTCACATAGGTCGACTCAGCCTCAAACGAGTAACTGGTGTGGCGTATTAACATCGCCACTGGGGAGACAAAGGCGGCCGGCCGTGGTGGATACAAGTCCCGGGCGAAGCCGGGTAGTACAGCTAGTAAAAATATAAAACAAAACAAAATTCTCACGTTTCTGTGGATTTCACACCTGACGATGATTGCTTGTGTTGCAGTCGAAACGTCGTGAGAATTTGTATTTTTTATATTTTTATTCTTTTATTATTTCCTTTCTACGTTACTTTACCGAAAGAACCAAGAATATGAATCCCTGCAGCCACGAAAGCTTTAAATAAAAAAAATAACCTAGTTACTATAAAGGGCCGTCCATAAATGACGTCACGCGATTTTGGCCAATTTTTGACCCCCCCCCTCGTCACGTGGCGTCATAAAAAGTCAGACCTCCCCCCCTCAAATATGACGTCACAAAGCTTTGCCCCCCCCCCCAAAACCATATTTCCATTTTGAAAATAAAACATGCTTCAAATCGCTTTAAACTATTGTCATTGTAGTGCGTATTTAATGTGGCGCTGCACTCTGATGTTGTAGGAGAAAACATGTATTAAAACGTCTATTTAATTAAGTAGAACGTGTTGTCTATATTTATTTAAAGTTGCGCATTTTGATGTGACGTCACATTTCTCAAACCCCCCTCCCCCTCGTTACACATCGTCACAAATGTCTGACCTCCCCCCCAGGTGTGTGACGTCATTTATGGGCGGCCCCTAACCCTATAGTTGTGACTCTTAGGTTTTTTCGGTAAAGTCACACAGGTAAAAAAGAAATGATAATACAAAAAATAAAAAATAATATAAATAATATAATAAAGCAACAATATAGGGGGGAATACTTAAATAATAAAAAATAAATGATAATACAAATAAAAAATAATAATAAATAATATAAATAATATAATAAAGCAACAATATAGGGGGGAATACTTAAATAAATAGACAAAATTTACGAAATAATAGAAATATTGCTTTATGATTTTATTTCTATTATTTTAATTATTTGTTATTATTGAATTTTTATTCTTTTTTCTATTATTTTTATTTTTTACCTACATGACTTTACCGAAAAAAACCCAAGAGTATGAATCCTTGCAGTCACGAAAGCTTCACATCTATAACCTATAGTTGTTGTTGTTGCTGCATCGACCGCAGCCAACAACAACAACAACGAGGAGCAGAAAGCTGCGCGCGCGAATCCCAGGCGCGAAACACTCTTTCAAATCCCTACAACGCATAGGCGTGGGTGCTACGCGTGCGAGCCCTCCCATTGGCTGGGGCTCTGCGGCGACGTCGCGTGCGATTGGCTGACGAGTCGCCGCTCCCACGTGGTCACCGTTAACAACGGCGACGTCGCGTGCGATTGGTTGACGAGTCGCCGCTCCCACGTGGTCACCGTCAACAACGGCGACGGCGCGCGCGTGTGCAGTGGGAAATGTGAACGCGTTGTCGCCGTGCGTGTGTGTGTTAGTCGAGGCAACCTCGTCACCCTCAGCGCATTAATTGTTGTTTATTCTCATTGTTGCTGCGAGCATGAAGACGAAGAGGGGCAAGACGAAGAAGTGTAAGGTCGAGATGGCCGCGTGTGTTCGCTCGTTGCCGAGCTACGGGCCCCAGACGCTGAGGCCATTCTCGCGGTCCCGTTCGTGATCGTTGTCGGTGGCGATCGCAACACATTACGGCACGCAATGTGGTTCTCTGTTATATTACAGTATATAGTATTTCCATTGTGTCTGCGCTTAAGCAACGCTCGTCTTAAATATTGCTTCTGTCATTCGCCAGACAGCTGCTGCGTTTACGAGTCTTAATGTGTTTTTTGTTTGTTAATTTCCGTCAACTTGTATCTATTACAGCGCTTCGGTAGATAAAGTGCACATTCTGTAGACCTCACGTAGGCTACACATTATAGCAGTGTGTGTCATGAGCATTTCTAGGACGTGTCATCATTTTTCATGGCCATTTGTCAATTGCTGGATGTATGTGTGTTGGACTTCTTTCGCACCGTACGTAGCCAACCACGCTAATCGGAGGTGGATTGATGGCTTCCTCACACCGTGTCGGTCACGGGGGGGTTGCTTGAACATACTTCACCATGCTGGTCAATGCGGATGGCTGGGAATCACATTCGGGTAACTTTGTGAAGTAATTGTATGAAGGGGGTTAACCACGCGGTGTGCAAACCACTGCACCACCACTGTAATTCTGCCAACACCGCTGTGGTTTGCAAAGCAGTGGTTTGCAAAGCAGGGCTTTGGGGCCGATTAACAAGCTGGAAATGAAGTTTTTTTTTACCCGAATTCGGCAACATTCGCATGGTGTCTCCCTGACCAAAATTTTCACAAATTGCGAAATCTAGCGTGTTTCAAACCAGTGACATAAACGTTCCACAACACTTTCAACAGACTTCCAACATGCACAATGTGTGTATTCCCCCCCCCACCACCAACCATGCCACAGTGCCCAGCGAGGTGACCCCGTCGACCAGCCTGCCTCCGCTGGTGGAAGGGCAACCACGATGTTTCCTACGCATCAGGGTGGGTGCCCTGGTGTGGTCGTCAGGTGGAGCGGGTCCTCGGGTCTCCACGCTGCTCCACACTCCGCTTGTGCGTTTGCGCTGGTGGGGGGAGGGTTCAGGCGGCACCATCTTCAGACCCCACTTGGCTGGAGGCACTCGTTCGCCGCAGAGCTTCGCCCGCTTTTCCGTGTGCTGCGGACCAAAGCAGTTCTCTTCCTACCTGTCAGGTGAGAGTCGTGGGGTCAGATGCTACCAGAGGGCATGATTTGGCCAGGACAGTTTCCCACACAGATTGGTCTATTATCATGCAATATAATTTTTTAAGAAATAATCTAAAGCCACATTTCAATGGTTGCAAATGGTGACTGTGATGTCTCTGTAGTCAAAATTAAATTTGGACAGGTGTGCCTCTGTGGTGTTGTCATGTCATCTAAAATGTACATTGTAATACATTTTACAATGTAATCCTAGACCAGATAGTTCACCTGCCAGTTCTGCCTTGGATGGAAAAAAACACATTTGTGTTTTTGAGATTAGTGGCAATACAAATTAAGCCATTACAACAAGAAAACAATTGAATAGTGATGTGAAATAACGGAAATGTGTTGAATTTTAGGAGGCAGGGTGGTTGGGTGTAGAGTGTTGCATTGTTATTTGCCTTCTTGGTACCAATTGATGCCCTGTCACCTGCAGTGTATGTGAAATGACTCCAAAAAAAATCAAATACTGTCATTTATGTGAAATTGTCACTTTTATCAATTATTGGCTGTGAAGTGGTAGTGGTTGAAAATGATGTTGCCACTAGAACAACACCTCTTTTAAGGGTAAATGGAAACCGTGAAAATTCTGTTGGTCTATTGGAATGTTGACTGTTGAACCTCTTGACTCCTGCTGCCTGTGGGCTTTGCCAGACATGGGAAATCTGGTACTGGAAGTGCTTGCCAAGCTGGAGCACCTTCCTGTCGGGCGCGTGCACATCAATCACATCTCCCGGCTGTCGGCCACGCAGCCGATCTCCGGCTCCTTCCCCATCCTCTCCTCCACGTCGCATAAGCTCGGAGAGCTGCAGGTATCTCTTTTTTAAATCCTTTATATTAAGTTCGCTTGCTTGCTTAGGACCGTGCAAATCTTTCGGTCGTTTTTTAACCCACTTCCCGTGATCCAATCGAGCTGACATTTTCCACACTCGTTGTGCGTGACAATTAATGTTCGTGAAATTTTTTCCCCAAAATTTTACACTTTTTAGGACAAAAATATTATATTTAATTACCAATTGCTTAATGGTGCAATGCAATCATCTGACCCATAGGTGGCAGCCATCTCAAGCCAGAGGACGAGAGGATTCTAGCCGCCACGCATATAAAGCATTTATAGTGATAAACTTTGTTTTTACGGGTTATACTTATTTTACCTTCACCCACCTGCACTGACCAGCGTTGCAGAGTATCGTCAAATAACCCCCACATAGCACATGGAATGGGGAAGCTGTTGCTTAGCAGTATATTGCCAAAGTGCTTTACTTGACGAAATCGTGTGATGCAGCTGTTGTTCTGCAACGCTTGTCACCATGCAGGTCTCTATGACTCTGGAGGCTCTGGCGGACACATCCGACGGCAGAAACTCGGTCCCCACGACGGACATGAGTGTGAATGGCCACCATGGGGACGCGTCTGCTCCTCTCTCCTTGGTCCACGCCTCCGTGGAGGGCGGCTTAGCAAGCGTGGAGATGGATCCATCCACCCGTAGGCTCTCGTTGCAGTCGAGCAGTGGACATGAGTCCGCAGGAAGCAGCCTGCCAAACACCCCCAGGTAAACGCATTGAGTGTAGTCATCAGAAAATGGGCCACTCTTTGCCTAACAGTAATAATTAGCCATGCAATGATGCATTGATTTTGATTTAAAAAAAAAATCGTTCCCCTCATGATACCCATGCTTGGAATTTCAGACAAACGCATGGAGCAAGGAACCAACACAAACGAGAGATGTATTAATTCTTAAGGAATGTAAGTGCATTTTGGTTGGATGCATCGGTAGATGGGATGACGACTGATGGAGGAGACTGGTGTGAGAATGGCAGTCAAAGCAGGGAACAGGCCCAGTAGGCCAACCGTTGCAGAGACAAGAGTGATAAGATCATCTCATCGCAAAAATGCGAAGCATTTTGGTACCAAGGACCGTATAGGGAGGCAAGGGGAGGCTTTTATTCAGCAGTGAATATAACATGGCTTATGGTGACTGTAATGCGTAATGCTTTAGCTTATAATACAATACTTAAAACGTCGTGTAAAGTAGAGTTGAATCCAGTTTATTTTTGAGTGTGACACTAATAATATAATTGTTCGCACATCATCATGTCGTTTGCAGAGGAAAGGACCACCTGTACTTCCAGAGTGGACACAAAGGCACCACGGGAAATGACGCTTTCAACTTGGAGCAAGTGTCGCACAGTGGTCTGCTCGTGTCACCCAACAAAGAGCAGCCTTCTTCAACCGAAGCCAATCAACAACTTGGTTACAACCAGGATCAACAGGCAGAAGAGTTTGGTGGGACCCAGAACACAGCAGATGTTATCTCTGGTAACAACAATAAATTTATAGACTGATAATTAATTCATGCCGATGACCAAATCACTCTTTGTTCAGTTAGCCCTAGTACGCTCATCCTTGTTTTGTGCTCTGCTGCAGTGCTTCTGGACCGGGGCAGACGTTTGAGGGACGCCATGGTGGTGTCGTCCATGCACATTGACCCTCCCCATTCCACTATGAACGCGGGACCTACTGAGACGTTTTCACATACGGGCAACTCCGGGTAAAGATGCAACAGTGTTAAACACGAATCAGAATGTCACTTTGGTTAACTTTTGTTTAGTGAACCGAACACCACTACAAAAAAAATATTGATTGTTTATTTTTTAAAGGTACGTTGAAATAGTTACATTTATGCAAAAAGTTGACTTCGTTTACAATAAGCTGATAATATTTTTGGGATTTTTTTTTTAAGGAAGAACCATTACATAAACATATGAACTTCATGTGCTTTCGGCAATATAATGTTTCAACATAGTTTTCTAAGTAGTTGTAGCCATTGATTTAATTAACTTGAAAAAACTGCAATCCCATTAATGCTCAGTCCACCTCTTTACTGCCCCTTTTGAAAGCTTTTGAATGTCTATTTGAGAATTAACCTTGCTGCCCAGTGTTTTCATAGAACAGTATAACATCATCATGATGTCTTAACACTGTTCTGTTATGCTTGGGTCTTTCGGTAAAGTCACGTGGATAGGTTAAAAAAAACTAAAACTGATCCGTTATTTTGTGTCATTGACAACAGGCCGTCCCCTACCCCATCAGTGAAGCTGCTAAGGAACCTGTTGAATGCTGATGACTTCCATGCACATGGCGGCAAGGGCTTCCCACCTCCGTCTCTCAGGACTGCCTCTGTCATGGGGCTACGGTTGGACCCGACACGGAGCTCCGTAGTGAGCCCATCGCAGACACGGAGATGCGAGCTGTGGAGCTGCTCCTTGGAAGGTAACCGGAGTCCCCCTGGAGAGAAGCAGCAGGGAATGCCGAATGAAATTCACAATGAACTCACTGTCATGCATACATATGTCTTTTTGTACTTAATTTTTTTTCTGTTTTCTACCAGTTACATTACCATCATTTTATTGGTATTATGAGACAGATGCATATAAATTCTGAACTCTCACAATGAGCAATGCACCACCTCGTGTCAGACAAAATTACATCACGACTACTTTCGAAGCTCCTTCCGTAAGCAACCTGTTATTTATACTAAGTGTTTCGTGGCAATCAAATCAAAATGTTTAGTCCTCAGCTGGATTATCTGAATTAAGTGACAGTTTTCTGCAGTGACCATGCTGAGACCATTCAATTAATTACACTTGACAAACCAGATTCGAACCTAGAATTGTATCAGTGCTGGTTCAGTGCTCAGACATGAGAGAGCCACCTGTCTACCTCACAAATGTATCTGCTAAATGCAATTGTGGCTGCTTAAGTGATGCTTCTGATCCGTAAAGCAATACAAGAGATGCTTGATCACCTACAGCGGCATAGTTATTGAGTGTGCAGGAAGTTCAACTGAATGGGGGCCCACAGGCTCAAGGGGCCCAAGTGCCAGACTACAAAGAGGAGGGACGATTGACAGTGGGGCCCCATTTAATTCCTTGCAGCAGGACCCTTGCCAACCCTACTCTACGACGGATCATATAATCACACCAGGCTGAGCCATGGATGCTAGTGTTGCCGGAATGCGATCGGCTTGATGTTTTGTGGTGCACCAGCTCGGACATGGGTGACCTATCGGCGCTGGGCTACTGGGACGGGACGGGCTCGATGCCGGACACACCGCTGTCGGAGCGCGGAGGCCCCATGGACGAGAGTGATATCAACGGGCCACTGCATGACCAGAGCCTCCTGGAAGACCTCTTCTACAGGGGGCTGGCAAGTCTCTTACACACACCTTCACACTCGTACAGCTTCCTGTGGAGAAGAAATAAAGATTGATCTCTTCACCATCACTTTGGCTGTGCTTGTAACAGGGATCTTCGGGCAGCCAGAGTGAAGCGGGATCTGGAGAGGAGACCAGGTCACGGCGTCTGGGTGGAAAGGGCCCACAGGGGGATGTGGACCGGGATGTACCACCCCCGGAGCCCATCCACCCATCATCACTCCGGCAATCCAGGTAGGTGGGACATTTGCACATGAGAGGCTAACGATAATATTAAATAGCAGTAAACTGGTGATTTTTCCACAAACACATAAATTTAGGCCCATTATATTTAAAGAGCACTCGCACCACCACAGTTAATCTTTAACTTACATTTTTTACAATTGGCTGCAACTAGGAGGGATAACTCACTTGTGTTACACTTGTCCTTGAAAAAGAAACACCGGCCAAGTGGTTCAATAATAATGCCCTGTCGGGGATAATATTTTGCATCATCTCATGATGATGCGACGCTCGTAACACAGTTTGAACGGACTGACGGGTCCGCCCACTCCCAACGCTGATCACCGTTCGCGCACTCAGGACCGACGGTGCCCGGCGGCAGCCGCCTCCGTCGCAGCAGCAGCTGGCTTTGGATTTGGAAGCGGGCAGGCTGGCGCTACTGGGACGCGTGCACCTGGCCCGCGTCGTCGTCGGAGCGTTGCACCTGCCCGGAGAGGCGGCAGCGGTGTCGCCCACGCGCCACGCTGAGGGCCGCAGCTCAGGGAAGCCCCCTCGCCCTCGCATTGCCGCTGGGAAAAAATGGTTCGTCAAGTTTTAAGCATGGAACATTTCACACCCCTCCCCCTCGCGTAATTCCATGAATTGTTACGATTCAGGGTCACGATTCAATAATGTAATTTTTGTGTTTTTTCTTATTTTCTGTAAATTAGCCTAAAGGTGTAATTGCCGAGTGAAATGGAAACCAGTTCTGCCCCCTACTCCCCCTTCACCTACCCGCATTGTCAAGCGGGGTGAAGTATGGTCAAACAACCCCAATGACCAACACGGCATGGTTAGGCCTTTATCCAATCGTGGATTGACAAGAGGCTGTAAATTATAGCTGATGCGCCATTCATTTGTTTTCATCTATGATTAAGTAAACATAATTATTGTTGTCTTTTTTCTGAAGCACATATTTTGTGGAGTACCACTTCCCGGTGCCGACAAACGTGAAGGACGCTTCAGGGCAGACGGCACTGATGACAGAGGTCACTCGTGTTGCATCCAGCAAAATCATTGGAGGAGGTAAGTGAAATGCAAACTAAACATCATCCATACCTTTATTATTCTCATCATCATCATTTTTCACCTCAGGGGTGGAGCAGTGGCACAGTTTCTAGTGCACTGTGCTATATATCTGGCACATTCTATTACTGGCCACAACGAACATTGGTGGCGAGTGATATCTGAACCAGTCCTGGGGGGGGGAGGCGTTCATCCAGCAATGGATTGACAAAGGGCTCTACGAAGGGCTCTTCATCAAATGCTGTGTTTAAAACATGTGTTTTGAGCTAATTGTATGGAAATGGTGTATATGTAAATGATATGCACATTGTATGATACTTTCTATTTGCCTTCTTTAAGCAAAAACAGGTTAATAGATTTTCTCAATAGTAGTAGTACCAGGTGTAATGGTACACATTCCCGGACCGCTCCCCCCCCAAAAAAAAAACTTCACATTCATATAGTCGAGTTATGATTCAGGCCATGGCTCTTATTGTTGAGCATGTGTTTTTTATTAGGAACAAATGCCAAGTGGTGTTTACGTAAATGATAGAACGTGATGCAAAAATGCATCATATTCTAGTGTACGCCTCTGCGGGTGTCTCGTTTTCAGTTAGAGTGATGCATTGTTGTAAATTAAATGCAAAATGGAAAACGTGCAAAATGTACCCCACCGTGGGTGGTTCATGTGGAGTTTTTGTGACGCATTGTGGTTGTTGCCGACCGTGCTGTCTGTGCTGCTCTCTCCGCATGGGGCAGCGGTCAGGTTCCAGCAGCGCTCCGTGTTCCCCGTGTTCTTTGGCGGGGAGATGCTGCGCCACTGGTGGAACACGGAGCTGCTCTTCAGAGTGTACGCACGCCGCGCCACTCAGAGAAAGGTGGGGACACAACCGGCGGAGTGAGCTCTGGACTTTGCAGCGTTATTTAGGATGCATACTTAGTATGAAGCAATCCATCTAGCACCTACACGTGAGCCGATTTCACTGCTCCATCTCCACGGTGGATATCCTTATTGTACACATTCCTCAGAATGGCTGCCACTTCGATGGCCATCATCTCTTCTAGCGACGGGTATTGCCCAAGTACGCTTACTTTTCTTAACGGTCAATATATCTCTTGATTTCATAATGCTGTCTAATCCATGCCCTTCTCTTCCTGTATCTCAAAGCGTGCATCTCTCCATGAGCGCACCTCGGGGAATACCATTTAAACATAAGAATTAGTCTCCCTATGTGCTATGCCACAATTGTGTACACATATGTGCAATAACTGGTGATGTCCACATACTCATTTGAATCTTAATATGAAGAAAAAAATCAGCTGTTAGGATAATATATGCTAGACTTCGTGAAGTCATGCGACTGCACAAAGCGCTGTGTGCCTTCAAATTTGTAGCTACTGGCACAACGTGGTCATGTAGATATGCTAAAATGTTAGTTTCTTACAGTTATGTGTTGTGCTAATGGGTGTGCTGTTGTCGTGTTTGGCAGGCGGCCCTGGTAGGCACGGCCCACCTGCCCCTGCGTACCGTCATGCAGTCAGAACAGTTGAGCGTGAGTGCTTCCCTGGGGGTGGAATCCATTCCCAGTGAGGATGGGGCTGAGCTGAACCTTGGACCCCTAAAGGTAAGGCTCTTGGGCACTCAACGTTATCATATATGCATGTCAATTATATGACCAACTCGCTTTTAATTGAACAATACCGCTTTGTTGCAGCACCTTGCTATTCTGTGCCCCTCCTTCTCACGTGGGTCATACTTCTGAAAAGCCCTCTGTTTGGTGGGTGTGCTGTAGGTATCCATTGAACTGGCTGCAGACAGCAAGGACTTCACTCAGTCGATGAGCAAACCGGCCGGAGGAAACAAGCACGTGGCTTACACTGTGAGCAGCCCTGGCCCCAGTGCCCGCCCTGCTGACGCAACGCCTCACCAGGGTCAGTTCCAGTGTTCAATTGGGCGTTCTTATTGTATATATGAGCAGCCCCAGCTTACACTTTGGTCATCATGAAAGATCAAGCGTGCATTCTTTGAGTCCTACACTTGGAATAGAATTTACATGAAAGGAAGATGCAATCTCGTAAACAGATATCGTTTGTAGATGCTTAGCTCTTCTGAGTGTATCCCATGCTGTCAGACATGAGGTTTACACTTAAAATCACATTCAAGCAAGCTTTTGTGGCACACTGGTGATGTCACTGTGGTGTCACTCCCTTGATTTTAAATATAAATGCTCACTCAAAATAATGTGACAGAGGACCTTACCAAGCATTTAAGTTTTTTTTCTCATTAACGACACTTCAAACTAAAATCCGCAAGCCCTAGAACACCCAGCCTAGGTGTGTATCTACATAATAATAACTTTTATGGATTGCAGCGTACTTACGATCACATTGAATGTTACATTTTCTGTTTTCTTGTTATGGTGTTTTTTTGCAGCACCATTGGCAAAACGCCTGGATGCAGGCGGGCCAGTGCGAAGCCTGTTGGCAGAGTTTGACTCTTCGACAAAGCCCATGCAGCCCGGTGGCAGGAGCAGCAACAACAATAACAATGAACACGTCTACGAAGAACCAGAAAATGTCCAGGGGCCCTTGCCACCTCTGTTGTTGCATGCCCTGCTCCTGGTGGCCGATGGGAAGAGGCTGTACAGCCCCTCGTCACGGCTGTCTGGGGGCAGCGCCCAGCAGGAGCCCAGCAGTGCGTACCTCGTGTGCAAGCTGTTCAGCAGCCAGGAGGTGACTCGCTCGGCCGTGTGCTGGAGCAGCGCCACTCCTCTCTTTAACTACTCCCAGGTTTGTGCTTTCATCCCGATCCTTCACTCGAGACCAGGGCTCCGCAACTGGCAGGCTGCAGCTCATGTGTCACATTTGGCCCATGGCGGGGGGATCTTGTAGTAAGTAGCCTGTGCAGTGAGCTAGACGAGGTAGAGATTCGAGTGCTATAGAAAAGGAATAAATATTAGCCAGCTGTATGAACACTAGATAAGAGCCGTAGAGTCAGGGGGTACAAAGTAGGGGCCGCATTTGCAGATGTCATGGCGTAAGGTCACTCTGTGACAGCATAATACTATGAGTTTAAAGCATCGTATGACATGTCATGTGGCCACAATCGCACGCTAGTTTAATTAGTAGCTGGGTTGGAAAACGTAAGAATCCTGTTATAGTCCTTGTGAAAGCCCATGGTGAAGTTAACGTGTGTCAACGTATACAGTTCCGAAATTTATAGTGGCTAAGATATATTTTTTTAAATACAAAATGTGGGCTTTTTTTAATTAAATTATAAATCATATAGTAGGCCATTGCATGCTGGTTTGTGTCTTGCTGCAGGTATCGCCTGTTCAGGTGACCCCTCAGCTGCTAGAAAGGATGAACAACAACGTGATGGTGATCGAGGTGTGGAACAAGGAGGCCGGACCTGGACCGGACCAGCTCATTGGTCTGGCCAAGCTTCCACTTCATCATTTCCACATGTCTTTCAGGTGAGAATCGGAGCCATCGCCTGGAACGTCAACCCTCACGACCCACACGACATGGAGAAATCCTCATCTAGCAGTGGACTAAAAAATGACGCTGTACATGTACGCAAATAAGAATTCTGTTTCCATGGCGTACATCGATTTTGCATAAACCATCACGTGAACTCTGGTCATCTTCGCAGTGGCTTTTGTCTGGCCATCGAACATAGACGGGCACCGGGCATCGCATAGCGTGCTTTGAGATGCATTTCTGCGGCCGTCTGGAATGCTCTTCCTTCCAATATTATGAAGCCGCTGGAGTTATGCACTTTTAAACCTAGATTGGAAACTAATTGCTTAGATCTGCTTTTTGTGTTTAGTTTGTTATCCTTCCCCACACCTCCAATTAGCACAGTTGGCTATGTACAGTGCGAAATAAGTTCAACATACATACGTACATACATACTTATATTTGTTGATTACATTTTTTCTGATCTGCTCTATTCTCTCAGAGACCCAAACGTGTCGCGTCTGCTGCTGGAGGCGCAGTACCCCGTGGTGGCCGTGGACGGGTACATGCCCGTGGTGGACGTGTTTTCAGGGAGTCGTGTTGGCGAGCTCCGGGCGCTGCTCGCTATGGGCTCCTCCAATCAGGTGTTGGCACTGCAGCGGCTGAAGGGAGAGGAGGTGACGTCCGTACCCACTTTCTATCGTGCCGCCCGTTCGATGGGCGACTCTGCAGTACAGCCTTCTTCTTCCCAGGTCAGCTGCAGTGCGAATTCATGTGTTTATAGTAGCGGTGTAATAACTCATTCCCCGCAAGAATTGATGCTTTTCATGACTGCAGGGTGAGGTTCGATTCAAGATCCTGACTTTTTATTGTTCCATGTAGAATCTATGGTGTTAAATCATCTATAGGCTTTATTGTTTTTTCAACATACAGGAATCGTAAATATTCTTACATAATTTTAAGCGTATCAGTGGTTGCATGTCAAGTGTTCTACGACATAATTTCACTGTATGTTGTATTCTTATTAGGTTATGACATTTGACACTGGAAGGGTTTCAAATCCACTATACTGGGATTTGGCCAGGAGTTTTTAGTATATTGGCATTTTTTATGCCACCACCTGCAAGTTGTGGGTTCCGTTCAGTACGTACCAGCACTATGGTGTAGTGTGGTTTGCATGGGCCCAGATGCCAAGGAATGAATTGGGACCCTGTGTCCAATTTACTCAATATTTGTGGTCGGGCGTATGGGCCCCTCACTGGCCCCTGCATTCCGGTACAATTGTGCTGCCTGCACACTCGACAGCTACACCACTAGACCTACACTTGGACTATTTTCTGTCCCCAATACGAATGTCACTCCCAGGTTCCGTTGCAAGAGCCGGAGCAGTTCGGTCTGCGGGAGGAGCACATGTTTGAGGTGCACGTGGGCTCCGTGCGGGGTCTGGTCCCACTGCAGTCCGGAGTGTGGGGCGAGGCTGACTGCTACGTGCAGTACCACTTCCCTGCACAGCCCAACGCGGACGAGCCAGGTGAAGCACTCTAGCCATTAAAGGTTCTTTTCACAGGCATGGGCCTAAAGCGTACCTAGTTTTTGTCGTAAAAAATAATGATTAGGAGTACCATTTGGGAAGTTGTCGATATTCGATGATAATTATTAAAGGTTTGTGATTCTGATGATGGTATATATTGTTTGTGGATGGAATTAATGGTCCTGTACATTTAGCAGAGATAAACTGATATAATTTGTAAAAAAATTACTTTTAAATTATTTGCACTGGGCATGGTAACAAAATATTACGAATGATTATGCCGTATTGTAAATACAATTGATGTTAGTAATAAATTATGATGACTTAAGTGGTAATTGATGATCGTACCAATAGTGGCAACTAGCAATGGTGCCACTAATTTACGGTAACCGTAATGATGTTATCGTTGTATAACGTTGTAAGCGAACGATTAACGGTGTTTGCATCGAGTGACAATGTTGCCGGTGTCATGGGTGATGCTGCTTCGCGATTGTAACGCACATTCTCAAGAGTTGTCTGCAGTCTTTTTGAGTTCCGTTCCCACCTGCCCCTTTGCGTCGCCGCACAGGCCTGTCCATGTGTGCGTACCGCACGGCCACAACGCTGTGCGTCCCGGACCCCGTCTTCCGGGACACGCAGACGCACGCGCTGGTGGCCTCGCCCGGGGAACCTGTGCAGAGGCTGCTGCTGGAAGCGTGCTCGCGCCAGGGCGGCCCGGACTCGCCGGGCGGTGGGGGCATCCACTTCGAAGTCTGGTGCAGGTACGACAAGCGCTGCACCTCGACTCCCCTTGCTTCGTTCACATGTGGGCATTGAGAGGAAGGTCTGTGATGTAGCCGGATCGCTCGTCAGGCTAATGCGTCGAGGAACTAAGGCGACATCACCAAGATCTTTGATTTTCTACAGCTGCTGATTAAACTGGTTATCTTTGAATATATATTGTGTACAGGTGAATTCAATATAATCTAAGGTCGTTTTTACAAAACACATGTATGCGTGAATATACATGAGACAATTCTGTAGATCGGCTTGCCAAAAGTAGGGTAAAGAAGAGGCAACGACAGGTTAATAACTCTCTTGAAATCGTGTTCACTCTCATACCCTTTTGGCTGATTTACTGGCTGCCTGTCTATATTTTGATCTCTTTCCATGTATTTGTCGTTCTGTCTGGCCATGCATCCATGTTTCTGCTTCCCTTGCAGGTACTACTACCCGAATGTGCGCGAGCAGCTGGTGGCTAGGGGCACTCTGCCGCTAGCCAAGCTGTGCGCCATGGTGACGCTGCAACGGCGTGGGGAGGCGGGCGCGCAGGCCTTCTCCCTGCCTCTCAAAGCACAAACGGCCCCCGGGCATCACCCTCCACATCCATCGGCGGGTGAGATCACTCTTTAGAGTATTTTTTTTTCTTAAAAAAAAACTGTAGTAGATAGAAACGGGCACTCATTTAACATGTGGTATATGCAACATGCAGGTACACACCTTTTATCAATCCAATGTTATATTTCTGCGATACATTTCCACGTGATAAGCCACTTCATTGAGCTATCATTTGTGGCCAGGTCACTTCTGAAAAAGAGCTGTATAGTTCAGTGGGCCTTACCTGGTAAAATAAAAAGTTTAGTTTAGTTTGAAGTGTGAAATGAAGAAGCACAGAGGCTCGCATTGTACCGTTTAATAATGATGTGCATATTATACAGGGAAGCCTCACTGAGTCTCAAGACTCTTCTTCAGGCCGGTCTGCATTGCGACATTTGCCTAAATTATCTTACGAGTTATTCTTTGGGTCTTTCGGTAAAGTCACGTAGAATTAAATGGGTGTACCTGCAGAAAAAACTCAATATACTGGCGACTTCGGCACCCCGCGGGTTTGGGATTTTTGTCCATCAGCGTGATCCACAAATCCCTTGCTTGCTAAGCGCTTTAATGATAGCGTGCGTCACCAACACGCCTGGCATGTCCGGCGTAACGCAGAGCTACTGCCCCTGCAGGTTTGCTGGAGCTGAGCGTGGCGTACAAACACAGGCCCATCACAGGCCCCACACATGCCGAGCCCGGGGCGAGCCCTCACCTTGTGACGCTCGCTCTGACTGTCCATCGAGCCATGGGCCTGCAAGCGGCCGCCAGGTAACCAGATGCACGCAGCCCCTCATCTGCTTCAGGCAAATCGGTACAAATTAATCATCATTAACCCTTAGCCCAGCAGTATCAAAAACCTACCATCAGGAGGTGACCAGGTGGCTCATGATGGCCCTCCCATGTTATTGCTATCCTCTGATATTTCTGTGACTTGATGCCACAATCCATCATCACCGTCGGTGATCCCTTCGGGCACATGATTTCTCCTTTGGCTGCCATTCCACCGTTTCAACACATCGTAGCGGACATTGTTTTCAGTTACTTTACATTAAGACGTGTTGTAGTATGTCAATTGAATTTTTATTTTAACTTTAAAATTATTGGTTGCATTCACACGACGATCGTGACGCTGCGTCTGCCCGTCGTGTCAAACCAGGCTCGCGGCGGAACGCGACCCGTCCATGCACTACCCGGCGGAGGCGGGCGTGAACGCGTGCGTGTCGCTGGGCCTGTCGTTCGCGGTGGCGGCCGCTGGTCGCGAGAACGTGACGCGTGCCGTGGCGCGCTCCTTCTCCCCGGAGTTTGAGCACGGGGCCGAGGTGGCGTGCCACGTGGTGTCACGCGGCACGGCCGGGGAGAGCCGCAGCCTCGCCGAGACGCTCTGCTCCGCGCACGCCATCTTCACCGTCGTGCACCAAAGTACTTGTGTGTTTCTGAACAGAGTTACGTTTGATGGCAGACAAAAGGGTTGAGGGGGGGGGTACTTTGATCTGGCCGGTTGCTTCTCTGGTTAGAGTGCTTGACTTTTAGTTGGAATTTCAAGCTCTTCACTCTTACCAATGACAGCAACACTTTGAATCTGAGTGTTGTAAGCAGTTAGTTATCGATTATACGTGGGTGGGTTAACCAGGTTCTGTGCTTGCGAATAAATAAATATATTTACACATGCTCTGGTTTAATTATTTGCTGCTCCTCACTCGGCACGGGTCTGGTTCAGTCCCCAAACATGTAGGCAAATATAGCGATTACTTTAAGGTGCAATTAAAATAGACTAAAAGTTTTCACCCCTTATTATGTCGGTAAATAATACGTGTTTTTATAGCCTGGTTTACATGTTTTGCACGATCTATGTTTTGGTTTTATCCAGGCCACCCTTCCCCCTCATTACTCCCGATAAAAAACTATATTATCATTGTTTTTGTTTACCCAGGAGAGCCTCGCTGAGTCTAGTTGCTTTTTATTGTAATTGTCATGACAGAAAGCTGCGGTGCCTGGAGTAAATTCTTCCATATAGGCGTATAACATTAAAACTCCGCACGGGTTTGCCGAAAAACCTACTCGCTGTGCATGCCTTTCTTACAGGCACCATGTTCACGTCCAGCAGGCCGATCCACCTGTCACAACACCTCGGCCTGGGTCCACCGTAACTGATTGCAGCCGCCGCCGCCTGTGTTTGTGTCAGACTCGCGCGGCCGCTCCAGTGACGCGGCCCGAGCAAGAGGAGCCGTCCTGGGAGTGACGCGAGTGCCTCTCGCCGCGCTCCTGTCCCGCACCTCAGGCGAGGAGCCGCCTGACGTCACCCTTCCCTTCTGCAAAAAAACCTAACGAGCTAGCGGTTGTTGACCCAGCAAGCAAGGCGTGGGGATTGCCCTCGTCCCTCAGTGAATTGAAAAAAGAGCTGTACAAATGCATAGTCTGTTGTGTGCTGACCCTCGCGTCCCCGCACACGCTTGGCACTCTTCTGATGCCCTCCGATCCCTTAGCTATTCGCACTCCGTACGCTTATCAGAACTTTATATAACTATCCCCTACCCTTGCTGCATGCCCATCGTCTTTGGTGTAATAATCCCTCTTGGTGCTTTCAATAATGGCATGGACAAAGAGCATCACGCCACTTTATGGAATGGCCTCAGATGATGTTACCTCATAACTTGTTCTGGGCACACTTGAAGATACTTTTCCTCCATAATGTTTATATATTTTTTCCTGAATTGTAGGAATCCATGGCTGGTTCCCGGTGAGCCCGGCGGGAGTCGGCCATGGAGGAGGAGGGGAGGCACCTGACCCTCTAAACCAGTGTGTCGGTGGCCTGGAGCTCTCCGTCGCCTTTGCACATGCAGGCGACCGAGAGAAAGTGCTCCAGGCTGCTCGGTACCTGGGATGGAAGCATCATTGCTTGGAGCAGGAGGAGGAGGGTGATGCGGTAAGGAATTAATTGTGTACGAGCACGATTCGACGTGGGTATCAGTGAGTGCAAGAATTTATTTTGATTAAAGAATCTCTTTCCTCTGCATTGCCATGCAGCATTCATTAATTCATGGGAAATATCCACTGTGGCAGAATAAACCAGTTATATCCCAAAAAGGCAACATACCCATGCAATGTGATTTAAAGACCTACCTACTATAAATGACTAGTATAAAACACATGTGCATTATTGAAGTACTATACAGCGAAGCTACAACTAAATATTTTCTAACTTGGTTTTGCTTTTATTTGATGCATTATAAAAGTAATGAAACAATATTCAATAATTTCTCATTAAGATATTTTCATCGTCAAATTCCTTGTTATATTTGAGAGCCGCTCCAAAACTAATAATTTAGCAAAAAACAACCTTGAGTCCAGTAATTTTTGCGTCCAGAACCAAGGCATGTGCGACACGTCAACCCATTCAGCAATAAGACGAATTGCTACATATTCTATGAATATTTCGGTAAAGTCACCACGTAGATATAAAAAATAATAAAAATAAAGTAAAAATATCACGACGTTTCGATCAAAACACAAGCGGTCGTCATCAGACAAAGGATTCAGTCTCTAAAGGCAACTTGTTTATAAAGGCTTGCGGATGGGCGTAGCACCAGGAGCATGGGCGGTGGACGAGTGCCAATGCAGCAGCAATGCCAATGCAGCAGCAATGCCAATGCAGCAAAGGGCCGCCAAGAAATCCCTGCACCCCGCTCCACACACCACACTGCTGACGGTGGAGGTAGATTGACAAGAAAACACAAGTCAAGTCATGACCCAAAGTGGTTGATGACATCTTTCCAATGATTGCTGAGTCTATAACCTTCCTCTCAGTTGAAATTGTCTCTGTGTCTGTGTATATGGATGGCTTCATGAACGAATCTTTGTTGATAGCCAGTAGGCTTGCAAAGTACCATCGTCTTAGAGAAATCAATTTCCTGTGAGTCAGCCACATTAAAATAATGATCAGCTTCGGCAAAAGTATTGGTCCTACCGTGTTTCACATCTGCCTTATATTCACAAACACGGTCCGAGACATGTCGCTTAGTTTCTCCAATGTAACTGCTGCCGCAGATACAGCTTAGTTTGAAGATGCCGGGATATTGCAATTTCTACAATTTGGGTGATTATTTGATTGAAGGCTCAATGTATGTTTTTCTCACTTTTCATGTCTTGTTTGTATTGTTTATTTTTTGTTCTCTTGTCCTACCTCATTCAATTAAACACACGATTCAATGCATCGTTCACATAACGATTGCTTTTAATCGCTGATTCAAAGCGTTAACATGCCTATACTGATCAAATTATATCTGTGCATACCGTCCGATGTCCAGATGTCAGAGGAGGCCTTCATTGAAGCTACCGTTGCTCTCAAAGTGGCCGTGCCCAAGGCCTGGCTCCCAGAAAGATGCCTTCCCGACTTCAACGCCCCGTCCCGCCCCGCCCCGGAGGACATCCACTGCTATCTCCGCTACCGGCTGTACGATGCAGAGGCAGTGTGCTCGCGGCCACGCAGGCCCCAGCGCTCCTGCGAAGACGGGGCGGCTCTAGACCTGCACCACGCTCGCACGTTCCGCCTGCCGCTCGCTCGCCCACTGCGCTGGTACATGCGGGAGGAGCGGCTCGAGCTGCAGCTGTGGGCATCTGGCGCCGGGCAGAAGATCGGCTCTCGCTCCCGGCGTCCGCACGACACGGACCGGTTGATCGGTTCGGCTTTTGTCGACCTGTCGTCTCTTGTGCCGCCGCGGCCGCAACGGCACACTCAGAATAAATGCACAGTGAGCGGTGAGTGGGACGCCAGGCAACTGATAATTCGCATAAACACACAGCCAGTGGGTGAGGCGCGGAATGAGCAGTGGGCGATGGGTTCAGTGAGAAATAGGTGTGGAGTAAAAGACGATGTTCCATGTATGAGGGCCGTCGCGATTGAAGGAGCATACTTGCATCTCCGCCCTGTGGCTTGCCGCTGTCCTAGGTGTGTACCCGCTGTTCAAGTACGGCGCCGATGACTTGGCCGGTGCGGCGCTGCGCGTGCATGTGACACGCTCCCTCGACGGGCGACACGTCTCGGGTGATGCCACCAGTCACGCCGCCCTCCCATCCGACGGTGAAGCCACCGATGACGAGGAGGAGGAGGACGACGACGATGGCTACAATGACAGGGATGCGACGAACGAATCAGGCTGGAAGCATCTGCGGGGGGACAATGAATTAGACGGCGAAGGGAGGAGCCGCGGAGCGAAGAGAGACATCGGAAAGTGTGGAACGACGGCTCCGAGTGAGGACGAGGCGGCCGACAGCTTCCCGGCACTCGTCATGGTCGAGCGGGCCATGCACCTGTCCTGTGTGGGTGAGGAGACACTTTCGGAGGCGAAGTTAAGGCACGGGGGTGACTGAGAGCAGCTGGCTTAATGGAGTTAAAATGATGGCCTTTTCTGGCTGTGCGTGCAATGATTGTGACAATTATTCAGCGTTCGTGCAGTTGGACGATGATAGGTGACGGCTGTCTAAAACTGTGTGTGCTACAAACCCAGTGACCCGAGTTTTATTTCTGGCCACGTCTAATAATATCTGAGCCTGTCCTAGGCCACCCCTTGGCTTGGCCAGACTGAGATGAGTATTCTTTGCGGTGTGTAAAATGAGCACTGAGGAGCCAGAGGAACCCAGGCACTGCTGGCTACACCACCCGCTCGTGCGCTGTTCCAGCCTTAATGGGCTCGCTAACAACACTTTAGTCAATGTAGGCTCTACTTGGGGCCTTGTTTTTGTACTGTAACAATCCTATTCATCACGATTAAATGACTGGCCATGCAAAATACCGGTGATGATTGCTATACGATTCTGACCTGGGCTATCCGTAGGTCGACTTAGCCTTAGTTAAAGATGAGTGAACGAAAGTATGTGTGTGTGCTGGCTTTAAAGTGCACATAGCCTGGCACAAGCGCCGTGGTAACGTCACGGCCATTTAGTGGCGAATGGCGGTTGTTGCTGGTCGGTAGTTGCCATCAACCATGTGGTGTGACGTGGCTCAACGGAGACGGTGTTGTTCGTCTTTGTGAACATGCCTCGCAGGGAGCCCACGGAGTCGCCAGGGGGCACCGCCGCTCAGCTTCCGCGTCTCCTATGCAGTTTGCGGCGCTGCGGAGCCCGTGTTCACCGAAGCCGTCGGCACCTCCAGCTCGCCCGTCTGGGAGCACCACCTTCAGACACGGTAGCTCACCACGCTGTGAGAACACTCGTGTGTACACAGAGCCTAAGTGGCACGTTGAGGCTTTCCAAGGTAAATAAATCGACGTGAAGTATTACAAATATATTATTTTACGTCACACTTTTGGCACAGCTCAATGATGCCCGTGATGACTTGCGCACCTGCATACCAGCACGTGATTGCAGGTTACGACAATGTACTCTTAAGAATTGGCCAGTCATGGGCATTTGTAACAATACGTAATTCATGGTTGCACCCAAGCACGTCACTTGAATTAATTTTTAGAAACAGTGTCAATCAGTTGTGTTGTGGGCTTTACATGGGCATCTGCTGATATCATAATGTGTGGCATGCATTTTTCTACATACTCTGGGAGATGAATGAACAATAGTTTATGTGTGTAATTAAAATAAATGATCTTCATGTTCATCAAACATAGGATGATGCTCATCTTCTGTTTACGGCCCTGAATCGGTGGTAGAAAATCCACCCATTTATGTTGCGGCAAATTTTGTCTGTAAGGTGACCGTCTTTAACTTCCCACAAAATGGAACTCGTTTTTACCGACGCCAGAGTAAGGAAGGGCTGAATTTACTAACGCCTGACTGGAATGTTTAACTCGCAAACTTCCCACTGTGAGTGGCGCTCTCTAACCACTTGGCTGGATGGTGTCATGTTCTGATATCAACACCATTTTTTTATATTTATCACGCATCACTTGAACTCTACGCGGTAGTTATAATTCTTTAAATTTCTTTCATTTCAACTCGACGTGAACCCGATACAGAGCACCGATCACAAAACAAGAAGGGGGGGGGGGCGAAATCCCGCAAGCTAAAGGCAGAGATCCACACGGCAGGGCTTGATGAAGACGGGTGGATTGGGGGCTCTGCTCCACCCAGGTGGGAAGCCTCTAGCAGAGAAGTGAAAGTTTATACGGGGTGGGAAGATAAGCGAGAAGATAGCTAACATACAAGGGGAGAAGGGAGGTGGGAGAGAGAAGGGGAGGGGACGAGGTGGAGGGGGGGACAGGCGTTATAGTTTAATAAGTTTCGCTTTGCCTCCGTCACTTAAGGCGTTAATGTTTGTGCGTCTGATGTCTCCTTTGTGCCCAAAACATCGACTCCTTGCACTGCGTTGCGACAGCCTCTCAACACAGCTTCTCCTTGACCCCAGGCAAAGTCTGGTCTTCAAAGTGTGGCACAGCACAGGTATGGCAATCAAGAGTTGTTTTTAGCAACAAACATAAGGTGTGTTGTGTGTAATAATGCATATTATTATATTATTAATATTTACTTGCCTGTTCAATTTTGTATCTGACTCCTTGCCTTCTTATCGACCTGTGTGCCTGTATTGATGTCCTTTGCCAACACGCTTTGTGTTCCCCTAAATTATTTTGCGCAGTCATCGGTACATTCACCAGACAAAGGCAGCGCCATTTTTACACATGTGCGATATGTGCGACATGTGTACATGTACATGGCTCCCACTTTAGGCCCCTCAAAAAATATGTCTGCGTGTTTCTTTCCCTGTGTCTCATCCCATCCTCTGCCTCTATTTGTTTACGTATCCAGCTGTGTGTGTCTCTGTCATTCTGTCTTTCTTACTGCGTGTTTCCCTCTCTGTGGGGAGCACAGGTGGTGCATTTTATCACTCTTCTCAGTCATTTAACCCATAACACCTGGGTTTGCCCCATGACCTCTTGCCAGCGAGCCTCCAACACTTTACGTGGCTTCAAAGTGCACCAAGTTTAGCACACGAGCTATGCTAACGTCACAGCCACTTAGTGGTGAATGGCGGCTGTTGTTGTTGCCTCTGGCTCTTCCACCTCCTTTCAAATGAGCTCACCTTTAGTGTGTTGCTATGACTCTGTATTTGTTTATGCATATGATATTCCATCATTTTGTCTTCGTGTGTAAACATACGGCCATTTATTCAGAGTTTTGCTGCACTTGGAATCTTTCGGCGAGCTATGCTGTTTGAGTAGTGACATCGGCCTCTGTGTTTTCCGTCCCCTTAAGCGGTTGTCGAAATTTCGCACTCTTGTCCACGCGTCCCCATAGGTCAAGGGGAGCGTGCGCTGGGATTCGCGTCTGTGGACCTCAGCGCGCTGCTCTCGGGCTTTCAGAGCGTTTGCGGTTGGTACAACGTCGTGGACGTTAATGGGCAGTGCCGGGGCCAGATCAAGGTGGCCGTCACGCCCACCGAGGGCGTGGTTCACCTCCGGGCTGCACGCTGGCAGCACGCCGATACCGTAAGCCTCGCGCTGCCCGCTGCGGCACCGCGGTTGACAGAAATAGTAGGCAGTGCAATAAGTCGTCCTCCTCGAGATTTGATGAAGTGTCAAATTCACAGTCACGCCTGCAGTTCGAGATTGATGTTCGTGTTTCGTTTTTTGTGTCGTTTGTACAAATGGTGTTCACTCCCTTTGCCGAAATGTAACATTGGCATATTTTTTTTATTTGCATAATTGTGTAAATAATCTTCTTGGTTCTTTCGGTAAAGTCACGTAGAATGGAAGTAATAAAACATAATAAAATATTTATTATAAAATATTTATTATGTTTATGTTTTATTTTTATTATTTTATTATTTCCATTCTACGCGACTTACCGAAAGAACCAAGAAGATGAATCCCTGCAGTCACGAAAGCTTTAAATCGAAGTGTGTAAATAATGTTTTTTTACGTACATGTGTTCTGAGTGTAAACTTCATGTGGCTGGACTTGAACAGAAGTGATTGGCAGTATATTCTGAAGTCTCTTAAAGTCGACAGTGTTTGGCTGTGATTGAGAACCACTGCCCACAATTCTGTTCCTTGAGATTTACAGAAAGTGTGACAGTAGTAAGTGTTTTACACCGAATTACTTAATCAGTTACCCTACTTATAGCAGTTTATCAATACATATTTTTTACGTCATTTACAACTGACTCTTGAAACAAGCATATTTGTTTTTCATATGAACCTTGTTTATATGACCCACAAATATCAGAAAAGGTCACGAAAACTCACCGGCGTGAAACACCCATACCTGCTTAACTATCCCACCAGACCACGTCCGTAGTCACTTGGGCAGGGACTATTTCTAGACTGGTGACGTCTGCGATGTCTCCATGCCACATATGGCAGTCTTACTGGCATAGTTTTGATTGCTTGCAAAAGCTAAGAACATGCCAGCTGCTATGGTCATATCACGCTTTGCTGTGATGAACTTCCTCTGCAAATGCATCACCTGGACGGTTGACAATGCAGATGGGATGTGTGCTGGCTGCATCAATAGAGTCCATCCACCCGATTAAGTTGGTCCGACTGCTAAGCCGTTCGTGTAAACACGGCTACGGTGGGCCCCATTGTAAAGTATAGATTGCATCTGAGTTCTTGTATGTTGGAGCAGTGTTATTCTTTAGCACAGATGGCATATCTTTTTAGATACTGTGACTGTCCACACCATGGCAGTGGCGACACTTGCTAGCATGCAAGCTAAACCTGTCGACCATTGTCATAGGGGTCAGCAAGTGCTTGCATGTTAAATTCCCAAGATGCATAGGCAAACGATTCTATTCAAAGAGATTGGTTAGCCTTAACATGACGTGTATAAGTATTATGTGTCTCCATTATACAAGTAGGAACAACAGGTTCCACACTGCCCACCAGGGATTATTTGTCTGTCTGTCGTGCATATGTGTCTGTCGTGCACGAATGCGCTGTCCAACCAAGTTCCTACCTGCCCACTCCGAAGGAACGTGTTTACACTGATGATTGTGTTCGGGCCAATTCATTAAGTAGTGTAAGCCATTGTAGTACATGCTGATGTGATAATCTTCCATTGTAAATGTCACGATACCCACAGTTCATTATTACACAGTAAATTCATTACCGTCATCGTCCTGATTTATTTATGTTTAGAAACTGGTAAAGGAAGCTTAATAGAGGGCCAATTATGTTGTTGACAGCAAACCTTTACGAGCAGTTGTATGCTTTGTTTGCATCTCTTAATTCACGCTATCATATGTCTCCATAGATGCGGTGTCCTACTCTCCGCATACAAACACAGAACTAGGGTAATATTTACAGATGACAATTCAACAGCGGGTAGTCTGTTTTTCACGCAGCACATTATGCCGTTTAATTCTGGAAGGGGACAGGAGTGGTCTTGGGTAGAACACGAGCATACATGTTGATGCCACATGTTTTTCCATGGTCATTTAGCAGATTTGGACGGTTGAGTGGCTTGGCAACAGTCCAGATATATAATGATGGAGCACTCTACTGTGTACATGGAAACTAGTAGCAGCCCAGATAGAATTGATTAACGATTCCAGATCTAATTATATGCCACAATGTACAGCAAAATCAGGCAGTCTGGATAATTTTCCATTGCTTTGAAATGTAAACAAAAATCAATTCGGAATAAATGCATCAACTTGTTAGTTGACTGTCGTGAACATAACACAAAGTCCCGTTGCTTTCATGTCGCTCCAAAATATGGCGCTTGATTGTAAGTTTGCCGGATATTTTCTCGAGAATATTTTTTTATGGTGGAATCCATTGGAACAGACATTAATTGTTGCATTATGGTTTTATTATATTTTCATCGGAAATAGTTTATGATGCTATTCCCATTACTGTATTTTGTTAAGGCTTTTCTTTTCCTTTTCAATATACTTGGAAAACCACAACATTAATTTACAAGAGCAGTGTCTCCTGTAAATAATTTAAACTCTTCTCATTGTTTATATTTTTAGGAAATATGGAACTTTAGCTAATTATGGAGGGCTGTTGGTGACTTTTTTTGCTGGCTATCTAAAAACCGCATATGCGTGTAATGCCTTTTAATAATTGTAAGTGTATTCAGTGTTTCTATTATCTGGACAAGGCTGATTGGTAAACTGGGGGAAAGATCATGTTGCACACAGGACACTTTTGGCATATTTGGCGATAGCTTTGAGGCAGATGCTTGCCCAGGGGGCAAGACAGGGCATTTAAAAACCGCGTGCTCGACATTTGAAATGTGACGCTGGTACTTGCGTCAACATGGCTCCAATCCTTCCAAGAGATGTGCCAACGCCGGCCCATGTTGCATGATGGAACTTGTGATACAGGTGCCTATATTTATAGCTGTGTTTTATGAACTCGCACGTAGGTATGTGTGTATGTTGAACTTCTTTCACACTGTTCATAGCCAACCGTGCTAACCAGAGGTACAGGGGGAAGGACAACAAACTAAACACCAAAAGCAGTTCTAAAGAAATTCGTTTTTAATCTAGAGTTCAAAATGCATAGCTCCAGTTGCTTCCTAATATCGGAAGAAAGAGCGTTCCAGACGGCCACAGAAGCGCATCTGAAAGCGTGCAATGCAGTGACCTTCGTTGTTTGATGGCTAGCCAAAAGCATATAATTAACAATTACAAGAGTGTATCGCATGGGCCCTATCTTAGGTAAATACCTGGTGTACTGATTTGAGTTGTATTAATATGTGTAAACGGTCGCCAGATACCAAGTACCTCAGGAGAATGATTAGAACGTATGTAATGGGTTATATTAATGCATGGAGGGTGTGTTGAGATGGGCTTTGTGGCATTGGTAGGAACTTAATTTCACTGTCTGGGGAAGCGCTTGTAGGCAAGTTTGAGGGGAGAATTTGTGTTCATAATAGCTTGAGTGCCAATGGGGGGGAACTTTCATGCAAACCCGTGTTGTAATGAAAATAAACAACACTCTGAACACTATAGAATAAAATGACATTCTGAACGCTGGAATGAAAAGAGGGGAAATCCAGATTATGGTCGCTGTGCTTAAGATTAGCGAGGTGTAAGCTGTGCACAGGAGGTTCTTATTTATAGAACATATTTTCAAGTGTTCTAAATTTAGAGCAACAGCTTTTGGAACAAGTGTTTTTTGGTAGTCTTTTTCCCCACCATCTCGTAAATACTTTTCAGAAATGCATTTGATAAGGCTCTTATCTGGTCAGTGCTGTTGGTGAAGGTGGGGAGCGGTGGTGTGGCAGCACAGAAGTACAAGTCCAACCAGGGATTTTGCCGGACTGCCCTATACTGCCCACCATGTTGAGCTGCCAAGCGCCAACCTCTTTGTGCATTGTGGTCATTGGTTACCCATCCAAGTACTATCCAGGCTCATTTCTGCGTAGCTTGTAAAATAATGATGTTGGGGAGCATTCCGGGTGATTTGGTCATCGACTGACAACCATTAAAATGAATGAAACATTGGAACATTAGATCGTAACAAAACATTTGAGTCCCATTCTATAGTATTTGAAAATGTAGTCTCCCCTCCCCCCAAATGAAATATATTTAAAATATGTGAGCACTTTTATTTCATCTAAGTGAATGTGACCAAGCGTGACTTGATATGGCAGCGTGTAGCAGGCAGCAACCTACAAAAAGAGCTGACGACAAGGTCATCTGTGGGCAGTTTTAAAGAGACTGAAAAACTTTCTCAAATATCTTCCTGCTATTGGACGCACTAGCTCATTGGGAAAAGAAACTCATTTTATCTCGAGTATCTTCATGTTTTGTGCATTATCCATTGAGGCTTTTTATGTAATTCCACAGTGCTGAAATGTAAATATGCAGCTGTTTAGCCATGTTATTTGCAGCATTAAAAAGGTCTTAAGTACCTTGACCGTATGTGAATTTCAAATGTTTTGGTTAAAATCTTGGAAGCAAAAGTCGCAATAATAAAAACTCTAAAACGTGAATGCAATAGTCTGCAGGTTATCACGTGAACACGTCACAGTCTAGAATTAACGTCACATACCATTGCACAATTATGTGTTGCATAATACAGAATAAGATACAATTACAATATAGTGGTCCACCCACTACACTACAAACCCAATAACTTATTTTCCTACGCTGATCATGGTTAACATTAATGGTGAGTGATATTCGAACAAGACGTTGGTGGGACAGCCCATTTCTCCAACTCACATTGAACCAGCGTGGTGAAGTATGCTAGAAAAAAAATCCACTATCTACATAGTGTGGGGAGGCCTCCATACAACAATGATTTGACAAAAGGGCTGTGAATTAACAATACGTGTCATTTTTATGAACCATCTACCTGCAACCGAACATTAAGTATGAATTAAAAAATGCAATTGAAAACTGTCTTCTGCAAAGGACATGGAATTCACGACAACATGCGCTAAATTTTGATTTAAAGCTTTCGTGACTGCAGGGATTCATATTCTTGGTTCTTTCGGTAAAGTCAGGTAGAAGGGAAATAATAAAATAATATAAATATAAAACGATACAAATTCTCACGACGTTTCGACTGCAACACAAGCAATCGTCATCTTGCTGTGGATTTCACACCTGATGATGATTGCTTTTGTTGCACTCGAAACGTCGTGATAATTTTTATTGCTTTATATTTATATTATTTTATTATTTCCCTTCTACGTGACTTTACCGAAAGAACCAAGAATATAACATTCGCTAAGTTTCTTGCCCCGATGTTTAATTGTGTGTTGTGTTTCGTGCACCACTGTGTCCCAAGGTCCCAGTGCAGCCAAAGTCCCGAGGACCGCATTATCAAACAACTGCCGTCTACAGCATCTTTCCAAGCCATATCAGCAGATTCCCTGAGCAGCACATCAGTACAAACGCTACGCTCAATGACAGGTGTGGAAATCGTGGTTATGTAATGCCAACGATCCCAGCGCTGCATAATACGACATTGCCTGAGCCCTGAGCTAAGCCCTTGTGTTACTGACCTTGGGATCTTGCCAGTGGCAGATAATTGATCCAGTTTGTGGAGGAAGGTGACACATTGCAATTTCTCTCTATTTAATTTGAAATAATACGTTCTAATAAAGTAGAATTTGTAATGCTCAACGGTTTTCGTCCACTCTCAAGAGAGTGATTCAGAGAAGTCTGAAACCAAAGACAAACAGCTAAGCAACCAGAACCGGTGGAAACAATTTCCCAATCTCTGTGGTCCTATAAGTAACCCTAACCCAACCCCAATAATCAGTGTTTATTTCGAATGGGACAAATACAGATTAACATTTGATTTAGTTTCGGCACCTATCAAGCATTCGACGAATCAAAGTCATCTACGTGCCGAATCCAGGGCCGAATTTGTGCAGAGAGTGTGTGGCGTGGCGTGGAGAACTCGTGTGCAGTAGTAGCACGTGGTAGCAACTCCCAATACATCAACGCATAATGCTGGGATATCATTCGGAGCGTACTATTTGATTTACATTTGAAATTCTGTTTAATAGTAAATTATTCATAATTTAGATTAAATGTTATATAATAGCGGTATTGTGTATAATACACGTTAAATGCTGTACAGGAGTGTTATGTAGCATATAGGTCGACTCAGCCTCAAATTAGTACTTGGTGCGGTGTGCAAACATCACTACTGGGGAGATAAAGGTGGTCGGGCTTGGTCCTGGCCACCCACCCCCTCGTGTACTGTGCTGGCCTTCATAGGTGCTCGCTAACAGCACTTGCCTTCACAGTCTGTCAAAGGCTATACACATGGTGTCTTTGTAGTAAATAATGCGTTTAAAGTTCTTAATAGCTTCATAGCGTTGAATACATATTTGGCACTGTACAGTCACGTTAAATAAAATTATATATTGATAGATTTCAAATGCTAACCAGTAGCATTATGCACCTTATTCACCGTAAAAAAAAGCATTGGGCAAAGCGCTTAGCAAGAAGGGATAATGGCTGACGGGTCGGGTATTTCACGAGTGTGTGTGCAATCTACCAACCCTCACATCTAAAGTTCTGGATCACAGGCACGCTCGCCGCCAGCCATGCTGCATCCACTGCTGAATGAAGATGTCCCCGAGTCGTAGCCATTCCTCGTGGTCTCATGATGCAACCATCCACCGAGCTCCAACACACGAGCCGATCTCATCTCTCCCTCTCCGTGTGCTGTTCGTGCTTTTTTGGCTGCTGCTCCATGGTCAGTCTCGACCACGGGCCATCATCCCGTCAAGAGCAGTGTCTTCCTGCCCAAGCCCACTTGTCCCTTCAGAATAGTTATTCTGGTGTCTCGAATGTAAATTTTTGTCCGTGATACGTGTGTTCTTCTTCCTGTCTCTCCATGCTTATCTGTGCACTTTTTAACTTTAATTTTTCATTTCATTTTCTTTGCCAGTGTCCATATTTATTATTCATATGTCAGAGCAGGTAATAAGCTCAGATTGAAAACTCTCTTCTTTGGGCACATTGGTATATGGCTCTTTATTTATTTAAGCGGTGTCGCTGAAACAGCCCTGTATCCGATTTTCTGAATGACAGGCTTGAGCACCGTCATTATATTGCTGTTTGTAAATTCATGAAACATTTGCTCATCGACGCCGGCGCTGTTTGCTGCTGTGGCGGCACAGGGCAACGGCGGCGGGCGTCGGCACAAGCCGCTCGCGCTTCCGGGAGCACCGCGACAACGTGCGCCGCTTCCACCAGTCTCTGCAACAGCCAGAGGGGAGCGCGCCCGGGGAGGCATCCGGTCCCACGCATGCAGAGTCCGTGGGCAGCAACGGCAGCAGCGGTGGCAGCGTCAGCGATGGAAGTGGAGACTCCAGTGAGCCCGCGAAATCCACCCTCCTGAAGAGCCTCAGGTAGCAGCGGGCTAAAGGGCAGTAGCCCAAGCTTGTGTGCAGAAGGTGGCAGCTTGAAAGGAAGTTTGTTTAAGGCTGTCACATTTCTGCGAGGTTTGCCCGAGGCACCGGGTGATCTGGGTGTCCCTTGTTCGGTTGGCACCACCCACTTTTCAATAGCCGCACGGTCTGACACGATCTGCGCAGTGGAGGATGTGAACCTTATTTTCATTGGGGATTAATCGAGATGACCACTGTAAGTGAATGTGCAGCACTTGTAGGATTGGGCAGGTGTAATTAATAATGAGCTTTGGTGACTTGGCCAGACCAAAAATATATAAAACGCCTTTCGTCCCTATTTCCATATATAATGAGCCTTTTAGAAATGTACAGTATTGATGTTCTGTTACAAGAAACAGGTTTTTATTAGGCTGCCAGTTTTTATTGTAATGTGCTCTATTCATTTATTTAATACCAATCAGGTTTTTGCATGAAAGGTTACAAGCAGTCCATATATATTTATTTTGTCAGCTGTTTAGAGAAAATGCCAGATGACTGTATCAATTAATGACTGGGTAATTCCATCGATTCATCAATCAATAATGACTCGTCTATAAAATCGCTTGCATACCATTTTGTTGTATTTAGTGGGTTCACATGATCCCTGCAGCCCCCGGATATGTTGTCTTTAATCACAGCCCTCAAATGAGAGTGGGAGGTGTTCATGTCTTGTTTACAACCCCTGATCAATGTTATAACAGGATATATTGAATCAAATTGCGACCGTGACCAGCAACATTTCATCGCATTGCGAGGGTATGGTAGGGGTTTTGGGGCTGTCTCGTTAAATCGCGACCAATTACACAAAGTGGTGACGTTTCATGCGGTCCATTATGCGGTGAACCGGTCTCTTGCCAAGGCTGCCTTGTCCAAACAGAACCTTTGTCACTATGAGTTGCTGCTGCTCTATTCCTTTTTCGTATGGTGGGGAGCTGATCAGCAACGCTGCTATGTTCAATAGGAGATGGATGAATGAGTTGATGGCTTCAGGAGCAGCCTAGTGAATATCTGAAAATGCTGCCGGGCAATGGATCGAAGCGGGCAGTGGCGTTACACGGTGGTCCACGGTTTGAGATTTGTGGCCACGGTATGCAGTGTGGACCTCTCATTACATTTCCGTCGTTGATAGGAGGTAGCTGCATCTGCCGTGCGACGTTTTAATTTAATTCAACGCCGACCATTTTTTTTGTGGCAAATTGAAACTGCAAGGTTTTTCTGTGGGTTCAGAAATTAAGTGCTTGCTTAGGTTGGCATCACGGTGGCGAGATGTTCACTACTTGGTCTGGTATACAGGTCGTGGTTTCGATCCTGACCCTTGACACCAGTATATTCGGAATTTGCATGTTCTCCCCGTGGTCACGTGGATTTTACTCCAGGTCCTTTGGTTTTTCCCTTCACATTTAGAATCAACATCACGCATTTAGAGTATTTGGCTGCTGTAAATTTCCACATGATAAGCCACTTCATTAAGCAATCATTTGTGGCCAGGTCGCTTCTGAAAAAGAGCTATATAGCCCAGTGGGCCTTACCTGGTAAAATGAAAAAAATGAATAGTTTTAGGTTCTCCACTGTGTCTCCAGAACTACTACTGTGACCATGCCACCCACCTCAACGAAGACGCCCTCGCATGTTTTCCTACAGGAAGAACCTAAGGGAGCTGGACGACATGCAACGCTTCTTCACCAAAAGGCTGTCGGTCGTGCCGGATCCTTGGCAGAGGCAGTCGGAGGGGCCCCGTAAGGAAACAGTCGGGGAACAGAGCCACCCGCTGTGCACGGGTGGCACAGAGCCAACGGGCACGGGCGGTGAGATGCATGACGAGCTGCTGGAGAAGTCCAGTCGCCTGGTGTCAGAGGTCAACAGCCTCATGTGCGGTCAGTAATTAGTTTACTTACGAGGAATAAGCAAATATAAATAATTGTCGCCATTCTCATTTGTAACTCAAACCATTACCATGTGTTACATGTCATTATTTATAACATCATACTACCACCAATCATTGAACAACCATCATATTGACAATATAATTGAAATTATAGTTAATGACTATCACCACAACCAACACCAATTATATTCATCACCATATTTTCTATAATCTTTCTACCGCTGGTTTACAGCGTTCACACCACGCCATCACCATCTCTCAAGGGTCCTAAATCACAATCCACGATCCATCCGATGCGTGCACATGAGTCGCTCTCATGGACTCCTCGACATGGTGGCAAGCGTTCATTCCATCATCTGGCTTTGACCCTTCAGCCATTATTCCTTCCAGTGATATGCCCTCTCCAAACGCACTCATGTTTATTAACAGTCAACGCAAAGAGGCATGGGTAAAATGTATTTTTGCAAGTACACCGATATCTATAAAAGAGCATATTGATCAGAAAACATGCAAATCCGTGGCCAATTGACTGTTTAGTCACCAACATAAAATAGCAGTCCATTACCCAATGAGCCGTCTAGTCCAGTACTTGCATATCAACGTTTATTTCTGCGAGGGAAATTTGGACTGGTTTAGAGTACCATTTGTTTAGTTTAGCAAGTGTTCGGACCATTAAAGAAATTGTCCAGGGTTGCCTTGCATTACAGGTAAGAGACCTCCACAAACACTGTGAGATGACCATTCGGTGCACTGTTCTTAATTGACTTGTACTAATGTGGTGATTGCATGAGCGGCCTCAATGGATAGTGTTGATGGATAGCGGCCTAAAATGGACTGTTTACAACAGCACGAATAGTCGTACTTCCAATTGAGGACGTTTTCGACGTGCGTAACATTTTAGGTTAAAATAAGGATTTTCAAATGACATTCATTGTGCCGCACCATGCTCTAACTTTTAACATTCACTGATATTAAATTCAAGTGCACTTGAAGGCATTTTGCATTACATGCATCTGATGATTAGTAATGGCATTCTGCACTTAATTGCAAGATGACGGGTGGAGTTTGAATATTGCCGATTTAAATTTTGCCATGAGCCAGTTGGCAAGGAGTTGACATTTCGATTCCCACAGCTGCTCGCCAATTATTGTAGGCCATTCACGTATGACGTTGTATGCCTGAGACGTAAGCATAAACAAGTCATAATAGGTTAGAGTCATCGCTAACTTCCAAAAAATGTAAATCATCCTTGTAATTTTAATAGCATTGCCTATTTGCGTACGATTACCGATTGCTGTACTGAAAAAGATGGCCTGTGTGTTAATGCTAGATAGGCTAATCCATGCATGGATAATCAGGTTTGCGTGGTGCAGCAGGCACGGCGCTGCCACCTTCGGCACAAGAGCCTGCGTTCGAGGAGAATGCTGACAGCATGGAGCCGGCCCTCCTGTCTGATCGATCAACGACCGCCAGGGAACACGAGCCGGCTGATTCATGGGATCCAGTGGGCATTGGTGACCACCTGCTGCCCATCTCGTTTGATGCGGAAACACCTATGTCCGCGCGCATGTTTACAAACGCTGCCGAGCTCGCATCTGGCAGCCTGTCAGCCGAGGATGACGACTTCCGTCGAGGTGAACACTACGCGCACCAAATCGACGGATTTGATGACATCATTGGCACTGGCGTCAGAGATTTTGTCATCGGGAGCGCAAGCGATTACGGTGACGGTGACTTTGACGAGCACGTCGTGGAGCCACGAACACTGAACGACATCTCGGTGATCACGGACAAGACGAGCCCCTGGTCCAGCGTCGTGTCCGACCCCGAGTCCCACGCTCATGGCAGACCCAGAGCAGAGTACAGTCTCACTTCACTCATCCCGTTGGAAGAAGGCACGCAGAGGAACACAAGCAGTCCTGAGCAGCCCACTCTTACTGCCGCGCCCGACTTTGAACAGATAGACACAGATCCTGCTGTGATGGACGATGGTGAAATAAGTAGACTTGCATCTGTTGGCTTGGAAGAGCTGGGGCCTGAAAGTTCAGAAAATGATAACACGCCCATCCCATCACAGGGTATGCATTCACAAAACAATGACCACTGCGCGTTGCTAGAAGTGGACATCAACGATGAACAGTTTGATGACGCGAGGGCTGATGCAGATGCTGATGTTGCAGCCTCCTCGGTGAGTGCTGCTGCATCGGTTATTTCGGAGCGACAGACTGAGAACACCCTTTCTGAAAATGAGGAGACGGATCACAGGGAATCTGAAGGCACGCGTGAGAGCCACGGTTCTTCTTCGAGTCACAGCGATCAAGAGCAAACCACTGAGAAACGTGTCGGTGAGAGAGCCTCTCGGGAAGAACGCAGAGCAGCAGCAAGTGATGAGCACTCATCCGATGAGGAGCAGGAGGCGCAAGGAATTGAAGAAGTGAAGGAAAGGGACTTGAATGTGTATCCTTAATTGCGCTAAGAAATCTTTAAAAGAGCATCGTTCCACCATTATCAGTCGCTACCATCATAACAATATAAGAGACATCCGTTTTTATTATTCCGTAGTTAATTATTTGAATGGAATATAATTGGGTTCTTCGCGTATTAAGTATAATAAATGTATTCTTGGTTCTTTCGGTAAAGTCACATAGAAAAACCACACCTGGTGATGATTGCTTGTGTTGCAATCGAAACGTCGCGAGAATTTTATAATGTTTTATTTTTATTTATTATTTCCCTTCTACGTGACTTTACCAAAAGAACCAAGAATATGAATCCCTGCAGTCACGAAAGCTTTAAATCGAAATGTAATAAATGTAATCGGAATATTACTGTTGATGTTTTGAAGTGAATGGTAAAATTGACCTATTGTAATGTAACATTTTCCATTTGAAATGCCGAGTTTGTTTGCTATTTTGAGCTTTGGCTGTTTCCACCAAGTCTTTAGAATCCAAAGTTTCTATGAAGTGAGTAATTATCTTAACTTGATGCCATGCCACTAGCCCTGGACCAGAGCCTCTGCCCAACTTCTTCCTGCCACCTCGTGACTTGGAGGCTTCAATGAGGGCACTGAGGCTGGCCCCTGCATTCCCTGCATTCCCTGCATTCTCCGCACGGAAGGTGAGAGAGACTGGCACTCACGCCCGCATCTCCCTCTGCAAGTTATAAAACTACCGACTGTACGAGAGATGATTTTGTGCAAGTCCGATTTTCTCATTTCTCTTCTGTCTCCCAATTCTATAACCGGGTTGTTCATTCAAAATCTATAAAATGTCTTTTAAAATGCCAAAGTCTGTGTTTAACATACATATACATATGAATGTATTGGCGGTATACCAATGCGCGGTATATAAAAAAAATATAACTTTTCACAATAATTATTTATTTTACTGCAATTCGCAACCCCGGTCAGAAAATGGTGCGTCAAAATCAGTTCTCGTGATGTCGAAGCATTCGGAAGACGAATGTCAGTTCAAATGTTTATTTTAGGCTGTTTTATAAGGACCGGTGTGTTATGCTGCACCGGTGTGCTGCCAATACATCCATGTCTCCCAACTATTTGGAGCACTGGTTAGAGCTCGGCTCAAGGGCAAAAGTTGAGCTAAAATTCCTAACTGGTATGAGCTTGGCTTATCATCGCTCATGGGTTCACAAGATAACTACTACTCATGTGGGATGTGAACAGTGGTTTTCCTCCTGTGGACAGACTGTCCTATAGATAGGTTTATCCGCAAACAAATGTCCCGCATTAGTTTGAGAATAGATATGTTTGTACCGTATGCGACAACATGGCCGCAAAGCTGCCGCACTAATGCCCTTCCTAGGAAGCTGTCTCAGCAACGGTAACTGGTGGTCGTGAAAGAGACGTCGATCATCATAATCGCCATTGGTAAAGACGAGAATTAATGAATACGATGGTGATGACAGCGGCGGCAATTATGGGTCACAAAGACAGGGGGACAACAAGCATATTTATCTTCATCCATTACCTTTGTCATCATAATCATAAGTCTTCTTTGACATTTGCATAACTAAAAAAAAATGTATAATGAATTTCGTGCCTTACTGTCCACGGATTTGCTTTTGGCCGTGAATTCTGCAGATAAGATATATTTGGTGCCCATCTGGGGGGCTGCTTTTGCACGTTTTTTTTTAAGTCATGGACTTAGGAGTCCAAGGCACAGGTTAAAGTTATGAATCATTGATCGGCCAGACCCCACGGATATCGAATTACAGACATCTCACTGGATGATTTTTAAAAGGCCCTTAGACTCGAATTACAGACATCTCACTGGATGATTTTTGACGGCCCTTAGACGACATTAACTTGAAACATTTGTACATATGAACACTGTACTTTTTAACCTTCGAATAGAAAATCATAATTCAAAGTTTTTTAGTCAATCCACTGCTGGATGATCGCCTTCCCATACTATATTAGTCATGAGGATTGTTTGACCATAGTTTACCGGATTCGTTAGTGCTGGTCGTTATACCACTTGCCACTGTTGTGAGCCGTGGCTGAAACTCGAACCCAGGTAACCAGGTTCAGTTCGCTAACCACAGGGTCAACGCTCTACCAAACGATAAATAAAAAAACTCTTGTAAATCCACTGCTTATGTTTGTATTAAGAGTACAACCAAGAACCTCGTACTTTAGCAACACACACTATGAATAGCTCATCCTGCCAAATGGCAACAATGCATCACATTTACTCTGTAGGGTTATTTCTAAGTCATAATAACTCATACTTAAGCCTACAGTGCTCCCTTCATGAATAAAATAATCGCGGTCAGTTTCTGCTGCCCTTTACTGGGAACATAACACAGTTTGGGCATTCACATTGACAGTTTAAAATTGAGGAGCGACCCTCAACCGGTGATCTTTGTAAGGGACCTATCCAAGCTCTGGAAACGAGTTTTCGTCATTCTGGTAGGTAGTCACATTCACAGGCCATTCATTGAAGACCCCCCATGGATACTCCAGCTGTTTATATTCACGAACTTTTGGTATGCTCACACTGCCTTGTCCTTCCTGTATTCAACATATTGCCCCCCCGCCCCCCCCCCCCCGTGTGATTTGTAAAGTTCCCATATAATTGATCCTAAGTTTGTATTATTAATGTTCAGAAATGAAACATCTGAGCCTGTTATGTGAACATTGCGGTTGCCGTAAAAGACACATTTTCAACGAGTGATAGATTCTCTGGAAGTGCGTCTCCTGTCCCAACACAAGTGAAAGCCCCATTGAGAGGATGTCGCTGGGGACGAATAATTAATTTCAAGTTAACACATTCATCCTGTATCCCCAGTATACTTCCCCGTGACTTGTTGGCTCGCCGTTCAAAGTCGTGTTTATTCTTAGCCCGAATTAAAACAAATCTCACTTTGTTCAGGGATCAGTATAACCAAGTCACCCTGAAAGTGAAACATTTTTGTCAGACCTAAAAAGTTAAGTAAACGTAAGCCTGGCTGTGTGTGGGATGGGGAGACCTGCTTGGGAAGACCTGGTGGTGTCAACTCAGACTGCACGGGTACCGGCACATTACCGTACAGCAGTAGCCATCATGTATGTATATTGAACTTATTTCGCATCGTACGTAGCCAACCGTGCTAATAGGAGGTGCACCTGTTAGCATTGTGTCTTACCCCTAATATGCATAGTTTGTTTTCTCTCCAAGTGTTCCAGTTTTCTCCCACATGCCAAACAACTAAGCAAAATAGTCACAAATCCTAGTGTGGCACCCTCCTGAAAACATATATGGAAAAAAAAAATCCCACAAGGACCCATTGAGGCTCTCCTGGATACGTTATTAACATCAGACAAAGGATCTAATTCAGGGTTTGGCGGCTCGTTTGTTTAATCTGGACTTAAAGCTTTCGTAACTGCAGGAATTCATATTCTTTGGGTCTTTCGGTAAAAGCCATGTAGATAGAAGAAATACTAAAAATAATAACAATATCACAACGTTTCGATTGCAACACAAGCAATATAATATATTCTCAGCAGCTCTCCCGCTATATGTTTCACCTGATGACGATTGCTTGTGTTGCGATCGAAACGTCGTGATTTTTGTTTATTTGTGCTCTCTACGTGGCTTTACCGAAAGACCCAAATAATACGTTTCTTTAATCTTCGTTTATGGCCACACTGAAGGTTTTGCAGAATATTGTGGTTTTACTGCAACGGTTTATTTTTTTCTCCTTGTTGAGTGCTGAATGTGGCTGTGTGAATCACCCTCACCGCTATTTTACTTAAATACAGGAGATCATCGATATACAATAGATCATCGATATACAGTAGACCATCGATATACAGTAGATCATTGATTATCCGGTTGCTTCGGGGCATGGCGGATTTTAAAAAACACTAGATAATCGATAATCATTATTTAAAATTGCTTATTTTTGCACATTCTTGTATGACATGCTTTTTAGGTGTTGTTTTTTGTATGTTTTAAATGTGTTTACTGTATGCAATTGCCATAAATAAACATACAAATAGACAGATACAAATTATACTTTAAAATGTTATTGTATTTACTGTACCGTACTTACCACTCCTTTCTCGAAGACTCTGAGTGGGGTGATGTATATACGTACAGTATTTTAATTGTTTAAGTTGTACGTAGTGTATCATGTAATGTATATAATTATAGAACACTGAAATCAAGCTGAGCTACTTTTCTAGTCTCGCACATCGTGCCGATCGCCGGACTGGTTACAGCATCTGGAGCGGTTTTGCCGGATCGGCCCGGGACCGCAGCAAGATAATGTTGGAAGTAGCTGGATAATCGAAGATCAAGGCAGCTTTGTGTTCATCATGATCAAAATATACGTTCGTTACCGCAGCAGGCATCATCAGATTTTTGTGAAATAATCCAGTAAAACGGATGCGGCCTAGAGGAAAGTTGTCACGTGAACATTGATATACCCCATTAGATTACCAACAACCCCCCACTAATTATAATGATGCACGGCATCATACTGTGAGTGGATTCACGTATGTGTGCACGTGTCACAAAGCCATTCCTAATGTGGTCAAATACTGTGTCATTATCTGAGCTTCCTGTAGCAAGCAGTGTTGGAGAGAAACGTGAATTTACTTGGTCTCCACTTTCTGTTGACCTATGCACCTATCACATTGCAAGCCAGTGTTTCTCAGTATGAAGGCACCATAGCGGGCACAGGCTTAACTGTTCCAAACATAAACGCGAATACTGGATAGCAAATCCTTGGGTCGCCAGACTTATTGGGTGCAAACCAAAGAGTTTGGCGAGCTGCTAAACTAATTTATTATCAATGTAAAAACTACCCTGTTACTGTATACATACATGTCATTGTATACATATCTGTGTTGCTGTAAATGTATTACGGTGTGTGTTATTGTACCCACCCATCCCCAGGCACCCTTAGCCTATCACCTCCCCACCATCACCCACCACTAACGACGTATTGTTAAGTACATTTGTTACACTTTACTTATTTTAAACATTCTGAACAATGTAACATGTTCTCGTGGATTTATATTATACGTTATACATTGCATCACATTTGAAGTACATAGCATGTGCATTCAATTCTATTCTATTACTATTTCTTATATATTCTATTACAGCATTTCATCTGTATTTTAAAAGAAGAAAACAACATTTTATTGCTGACCTGGTGCGTCTATGTGTAAAATCTAGCTTGCCGGGGTTTCACTGCATGCACACTTGACGAAATGTTAACTGCAAACATTGACCTATTAAAATCATTGCCACTTATTCGTACTGCCATTGAATTGCACATCTCTGTGTGGATGTGGGTGTGTGCATGTCATTTACGCAAGTGACTGGCGGATCATTCAGTATCGAGCAGCGTGAAGTGTTCGCTGGAGGCCACCAAATTTGCGAGCGTGTTTACGAGTATAGGTGCTGCGAGAGATGCCTGCAAGGCTCCTTGTACGTTGCTGGTCCATGTGGACACTTGAACAAAGAGAATGCGGGTGAAAGGTTGCCCGCTAACAGTTGGCACAAAGGTCCCCAGCTGAGCCCCGTTACGATAACTGCGTGTGGCTTTTCCATCAAGCCATTTTCATGAAGCACTCGGATATCCCAGCTGCAGTCTTTTTTAAA